GGTTTTCAACCATAATTCACCTAAGTTAAGTGGTCAATTGCTTCTTTGTAATTTTAGCTTAAAATTGTACCAAAATTTTTGATATATTTTTGTAATGCAAGGCAGTCGATTGCTTTAGCTTTGGCAGTGGACTACCCCTTATAGCAGTTCATGGCAGTCGATTCCTTTTATGTATGGCAATCGACAGCTCCTATGGCAAATTGTCCTTCATTGATTCTTTAAGTTTAGAATCATCCTTCTTGATCATGGAACATTACTTAAGCTATTATAGCTTAATTTAGTTTCTCACACTTAATCAATAATCCTTCAGATTTATAAAATTATAGCAACAAAAGGAACAGACCTTTGAAACATTGGTGCTGACAGCAACTGGAAATGGTGGAGGTGGTGGCAACTACACTGATCAATTTACAAAAACTAATCGATAAAATCCAAATCACTTAATTCTACAAAATACGTATGAATCAATGATCAACCAAGTCTATAATCAACTAAGTCTGCGGATGTTGCATGACAATTTTGGGCTTGGTTGATGATTGACTCTAAAGGACTGGGATGAGCACAGTTAGACTCTAAAGGACAGGGAAGAAGCAGTGGTCATGCTCAAATAATTGGCATTCTTATCAGCTATAACCTTCACAACATTATCATAGATAGCCTCACCCCATTCATGAACATCCCTAAACCTTCATAATCATCTCTTGCAGAAACATGACTTGAAGTACTTGCCCAATGATGAACATTTATGTCAAACACATTTTATAACTGTAGCTATAAAGTAACACAATCAACACAATACCAGAAAGCTTGAATTTGTATGCCTAAAAATGAAAGAATTTCCTAATTAAAGGAATAAAGCAATGAAACCTTAAATACCAACACAGTTAACTAAACCACCTAAATTTGTCAAACAACCAAGTAATGCTATATCCATACAGACTTTATTCTTATTTAGTAAGAGCTTAGACGATAATTTTGGAACTGATTCATGAATAATGAATAATTCTTGGGTAAAATTTTGTTGCATTTCAAAAAGTACAAATAGGAATTATTATGTATAGCACTTCATGAAACAGAAAAACAACAAAACAATTAGTGCTAAGGAGCCAACAAGACATTAAATTAAAAACAGATGCAAGTTCAAGCAGTGGTCTAAGAAGTTCGAAGTTAACCTCGGTCTCTAAAATTATTCCAGGACAAAGAACTGTAAGATCTTTATGGTTCTAATGTTACATACATAAATAACACTAATGATAGAGGCAAGATTGGAATAGTTTATTTGCAAAAAAGTCCATTCAACATTATAATCATAATTTTTCCCAAAAAAGAAAAATTAGAAAGGCATGACGGCATTTTATCGGTTGGAATACAATATAGAGAGGGCGCTTTTTGTTTGTGCTATTATTTTTATAGATTGGATATTGGAAAGCAAGTAGGTGACGATTGTTTTGTTTTAGATGAATTTATAAATTGAAAAAAGAAAGAAAGATTTGATATAGTGTTCATAAGAAAGCTTGGAAGTGTTGTCAAGAACTTGGTTATAAAAAGCTTTCTTAAGCTATCCAGCGGAATAGCAGCAGCAGGACCTTTCTATTGCTTTTTCTATTCGTACTTACCTTTTCAATCTTGCTTCTTGACCGGTACAACTAAAACTATAGTTGTTCTTACCTTTTTAGTCCACTGATCTCTTATTCTTTCCCAAAGAAAAGTCTCCTTCCTTGTAGATTTGATGAGGGAAAAAAGCTATAAGGTATCTAACATTGATTAAAGCATTCAGACTGTAATTTCCTTTCCTGTATGAAGAAAAAGGTTGAATTTTTTATGTTCAGTCAAAGCATACATCATAGTTTTGTAGTCAAAGATTGGTAAATTAATGGTATTTCTGTTCTTTTGTCTCGATTAAACCATTTGTAGGAACAAAATGAGTACAATTTTCATTTATATAACACCTAACAACAAATTACAAATAATGGTATTCTCACTCTGTATTTATACTGTATAGCTAAGCTACTTTTTTCTGATCTAACCTCTAAAAGCTAAGGTCTTCCATTGCTTCAATTAGCTCAGCTTGTGCCTCAACAGATAAAATTTCTCTATGTACAATCTGCATGCGTCGATAACTTGAGCAATGGTTGCCTGTCATTGCTCCAACCTGAGATTAATCCTATCTTCTAATTCTAACACTATCCTTTTTAGTTTTTGGCTTTAGGCTTGGCAAATGCAACCAGGGTATGGATTTGCATAGAAACTCTCTTCTGTTTTCACAGAGTTACCAGGCCTCCTGGGAACCGGTCCTTCTGTTCTGTTAAAATGCAGGATCCTAACCTTGGAGGAAAAATCGTCCCAAGATATCAAACCTCTGTCCATCCGATCAATCAATTTCAAAAAACATCTTTTAGTGATGATTTGATCAAAGATGGATTCTTGGTGTGACTAATTGTATTACATACTTGTCAGGGTTGATGGTTTTTCGGAAACCTTCGTACTTCCTATGACCCTGCACTGCCTTCCCCATGTTCCCATCGTAGGTAAAAATGAAAACATCACTCTCAACTGCTACAATATAGTCCACTGCAGCAAGCTGATTCTGGTGAGTCTCGAAAGGCGACAATTCCTCTTCTGTTGCTAAATTTGAATGGGTGAGTATATTTGGGTATTTCTCTTCAAGTACCTTAACTCCATCCTGACGGTAAATCTTCCCTGCAACGATGTAAATTTTTGTGTAAGAAGGATACCCGATGGCCTCAAGGAACACAGCCATCTCTCTTGGGGTCATCGGACATACCCCTCGTCGTCGCCTTTCTTCAGCATGAATCCCTTTTTCCTTCCAGTGTCGTACGCTACGTCTCAGCTGCCTTAGCTCCTCATGTTCAGCTTTGGTCAGGTTGTGACTGCAGCCTATAAAAGTAAGCATGTCCTTTTCATATCTGCACACACGTTCTCGTTAGCAAATTCAAGAACCATGGCAAATATGCAACAAGATTGAACCAGAAAATTAGTTGAAGTACCTTAAATGGAGAGCTATATAAGGCTTGTTATCATCTGTAAGCCTATTAATCAACTTCTTGGCAAGATTTTCAATTTCATCTGTGAACTCAAGTGCTTCATACATTGCATGGCAGCGGAGCCGTTGAATAGAATTGGCAAGGCCATTGTTAACTAACCGGGCATTGGTGTGAGTAAATTTGATCACCCTGTGCTTTTTTAACAAAGATGACATCTGATCTCTGTAATAACTAGGCTGCATAAAAGTTAGCTTTTCCAATATCAGAACATAAAGCAAAGTTACGATGTTAATTTACAGGCTCTTGAACGGTAATTAAAGATAACAAACGGGCAGATTTGAGGTTCAAAATTATTTCAAGTTCAAATTGAATGGAGTTTGAATATTTTTTTAGAGTTCTTATTGTTTTGTTTCAAGTTTATGTTTATCGGATTGGAATACTTTCAAGTTCAAATTTTTTTGGATTTGGACTATTTCAAATTATCTTGAGTTTTTCACAATCGATTTTCAAGCTTTTTTGAGTGGAATTTTTTATTTGAATTCATTTCGCCACCTCTAATTTTAATCGATACCTTGGAGTATGAAACCGGAGCCTGTTGATAAGGCTTAATTGATGCAAATGCTGGTGGGAGACGATCAACAACCCATATATCCTTCTCCAGGTATTGAATGAAATGTTTTCAGTCAAATATATCTTTAAAATCACTGCAAAAACCACTTGAATAATATATATATATATATAGTAAAATTTTTGTAATTAAAAATTTTATTAACCTTGGATCAGTCCAAAGGATTGGTGATCTAAAGAAGGGAGAACCAAAGTTTCATTCATCATTTTTGCTATGGCAACCATATCACTTATCTGCAGGTAAATTGATATTAATCAATAAATTAAAATAAATAACTAAATAGAATTAGGAGCTTACCCCAGTTTTCATCTGATTCAAACCTCCATTGGAATGAACAAGAATATAACCATTTGAAGGTAATTCTAAAAGAAGTAAACTGATAGGATTAGAAAAAAACAGGTCAAGAAGATAACACTAATAATATTATTACAAAGAAAAAAATGGTAAAAAAATAGTAATTAATTTAACATACTTATTTCTTTATTTGATCTTTCAATACATTTATAGTGAAAGTCACTTTTGGGCTTCATCCAAATATCAGAAATCTGATAATGCAAAAAAAAAAAAAATCAAATTAAATTTCTTTTTTTGTCAATTAAGATTTGATTATTATAAGAAACACTCAAAGTAAAATCTGAATACAGATATACATCCTTAAAATTTATTTGAGAAAGAAATTAGATTAACAAAAGACATCTTAATCATATTAACTATCTAACCAAGAACTTCTGTGGCGAGGAAATTTTCGGAAAGTCAGCAGCAACAATATTATTATATTCCTTGACAACATTGTTTGCCCTATTGGAACCCTCTAAAACCCTTGTTGTGACCATAAATTTCTCTCCATCAATATTCAAGTCTTGAAGAGCCTTCAACAAAGCAAACTTGGCAAGCAATATCATGAAGGGTAACACCATCAAACACCACAACATGCACCTCCACAAGTAACTTCCCGGCCTCAACAGCGCCCCTTTCCGACGTAAAAATGTCCGGTTTTTACCGGCAATGTGTTGCCGTCTTGCTTATCTATCGTCTCCGAAACTCTCCTCTTTGTCATGAACCCTAACAGCCTCGACGAGTTAATTACCTGTTAAACTTGTCATGGAAATGGTTAACACTGAAATAAACCATAAAAAAAAAAATATGGTTTTAGACAAATTTTTGAAATATGAGGCGAAGCCAACTCTTTGCTTGTCATGATATTTAGCTGCTTTTTGGGCATTCCTTCTTTTTTTTAAATAAAACTTTTTTATGTTTGAGCGATATGGGATTTTGGAATTAATAAAAGCCCACAAAAGAATAATGGCCCAATGCTAAGGCCCAAATCAGCGTCATAATTTCCTATACCCTAAGCGCTTATACATCGGATAACCCACCTATAAACTTCAGGCCTTCCATATAAATTCCCAAAACTTGGCCCTACTTAGGGTTTTAGGTCTAGCTCTTGCAGTGGCCTTTGTCAGAATCGAAACGAATAAGCATCACCTTCCAGATCGGAAAAAATGGTGAAGGGACGCCAAGGAGAGCGAGTCAGGTCCCATTCATCTCTTTATTTATTCTTTCAAAGCCCTTTTTTTTTTTTTTTTCAATTTCCCATTTTTACATATGGAATATAGTTTTTAGATTTAGCTTACTATTTTCTTTTTTCTTTTTTTTTGAATTTTTATTGCAGACTCTATGTAAGAGGAACCATATTGGGTTACAAGAGGTAATAAAACTTTGATAACCTTTTTTATTTCATTTATTTTCTTTTTTTTTTTGTTGTTTTTAAGCTGCGTTTTCTTGGGAATTAAAGAGAATTTTGAAGGTAATTGAATATTTAGTTAAATGCATGAGTAAAGGAAACAAGAATTGAGTTGCATTTATTTGTAGAAGTTGGGTTTTTATAGGCTATAAGGGCATGCTATTAACTTCATTTTTGAACTGAAATTAGTGATTGGGGAATAAAGGGTGATTGAATTTCTTGGTTTTGCTTTGTGGGGCAGAATAGTTTTGGGTTATCTTGTGTTTTTGAAATTGTTGAACTGAGTGGAAGAACCGAAAATTGGTTTAAGAGTTTTTTTATGGGTTGGTTCTTATGATTTGTTTGGTGGTGGGTGTTAGGTCAAAGTCAAACCAGTATCCAAACACTTCATTGATCCAGATTGAGGGAGTTAACACCAAGGAGGAAGTAGCTTGGTACGCTGGCAAGCGTATGGCTTATATTTACAAGGCTAAGGTGAAGAAGAATGGCTCACACTATCGCTGCATTTGGGGAAAGGTTACTAGACCTCATGGTAACAGTGGTGTTGTTCGTGCTAAATTCAAGTCTAACCTTCCCCCCAAATCTATGGTCAGTATGTTATATTGTTGTTATTTAATGGGCTTCTCTACATTGTGCTTTTGATCTATCATGTTTGTTTTTTGGTTCCTTTGCAGGGAGATAAAGTCAGAGTCTTCATGTACCCCAGCAATATATGAGGTAATCTTGACTTCCCAATATGTGATCTTAGTTGTTTGAATTGTTAATATAGGGATATTAAGCTCTCGTTTAAAAATGGAATCCAGCTTGTGAAAAAATTATAATAACTATTGATGAATGAATATTTCCTCTGTAGACTTGGAACAATTTGTCCAATGGCTAGCTAATATAGCCATGAATGCTTGTTTTGTTTGCCAGCTCCTGATTTTGAAGTTTTCTTCCTTCCTTGCAGTTGTCTGGATCCCTGATGGAGTTCGATTGATGACTCAAGTGACTCTGCCTTTTCACTTTGTTTCTATAAACTTAGTAAAATGTTTTGCGTTTTGGAGCAGTCATTTTGTTTCTTTAGGATGGTGGATGAGACTACTTTTGTTTACATATTTCTATCATGGATTTTCCACCTATTCGTCTCTTGACTTTGAAGTTTTGGGTAATCAATCAATCATGGAACTGACTAGCATTTCCGATCCACTGGGGAGCATGTGTCATTATCTGTTAGCTTTAACAACTTAATTCATTACTTGCAAAAGCTTGCATGGTAATATATGTTGTTTGGTTCACTACTTTTAAATCATTGCCTTGCTTTGCGGCTGGTTAGTGCTCAATAGTTGAGCAATGTGAGTACGAATGTTGACTGAATGATTTGATGAAAATATGTGATGTGCGAGCAATGAGTTTTGTGTCACGTCTGCATGTTATGACTAGGATTTGATTTATGTTCAAGTTGCTAAATAATTAGCGGACTCCTGGTCCGAAGTATTTGCAAATGATTGTATCCTTGGTTAGGGTATTAGGGGTTCTACTTGGATTGAGTAGTTTATTCTTCTTTTACCTCGGTTTTTTGTTCAAGTTTAGGGTGGAAGGCTGACGAGCTTCTGGGTTACTAGTTGTTCTTTAGTGACCAAACCTGGAAGATGTGTTGTGCTTTTAAAAATAGTGGGTTGAACTCTAATAAAGCTGAAGAAGTGACCATGATGATCAGGCTGCAGAAAGCTTGTGGAATTTCATTTCCTTTTAGAACTTTTGGTTTTGTAGAAAATCGTCCTCGAGTCAAGAAAAAGCTATGTAAGCATCTTCTAACAGGCTTAGAAAGGCTTAGAAACGCCAAGCACGAATCTGCTACCAAAAAAAAAAAAAAGAGCAAAACTCTTGTAAACGACACTACTTTAGGACGGAATCTATGGATCTAAGCTATTTGGCATTGTTGCTGATGAAGTGTTTAAGCATGTTCCTTCCTTCACCTTTCTTTTAGAAGATTTGGCTGGCAAAGTGAGTGGCAGTACGTCGTATTCTGCAGCTTATTGCCTACTAACTCTGACTTGACTTTTTTTTTTCTATAAAAAAATATGTAAAATAAAATTTTACCTGTATTTTGGTACATTGATATGTATATATATTGGTGTATAGTTACACTAATATATGTTTTGTTGAATAAAAACAGACCCATAAAATTAAAAAAAAAAACCCCAATGTTAGTTATAATGTCCCAAGGAAATAAATAATGAACCTAACTAACAGAAATTAGAAGAGAGAGATTAGAAATATTATTCTATTAGCTTGTCCTACATTGAGTCCCAATAGAGGGAAATATTAGAGTTCTTTACCAAAAGCAGGATTTGAATTCCACTTTTTCTATAAAAACTCTAAAATTGGGGTTTTATTTTTTTCACTTTAACGTAATATCGAATAATATAAATATATTTTTTTAATAAAAAAAAAGGGTACTTTGAGAATAAATATATTACAAATTCTATTTTGAACCATATAAATATTTTTTATATATATAAGAAATCCAGACTCGAGAAATTAAAGAAGGAAAATTTGAAAGTGCTGAAAATAGAACCGGATCTTATTGAAAATCACCTTTTTAATTTGGGTAAAACTTTAGTTTAAACTATATAAATATCTTTGACTTCAAATTTTTTGTTCCGTATGGTCATTAAACAAAGTACTAAATGTAATATTAAATGCATTTAAGGCTTTTGGAGCTAAGAATCAAATTAACAGGCAGCTGGTCCCATTCTTCTTTGGTTCAGTGCCAATTTTATTTGTGTTCAACTGCTTTAATTATTGTAGCATTTAATTGAACTCAAAAAAAAAAAAAAAAAGAAAAAGAAAAAGACTCCACATGTTAGAAATTCTTGACGGAGATTGGAGCTTTAGATCATTTTATTATCGATTTTGATTTTTTATAGAGATATTTTTTAGATGGGCAATACTAAATTATACATATATATATATATAAATATACGTGATTATGTATAAACATATGTGACAAAGTACGTACATACATACATCAAGTTAGGTATTTCTTTTTTTTTTTTTATGTTGTTTTAAGGTGTGAAAATTGCAATAATTAGGTGACACTATTGAATGAGATGAATAAGGAAGAAATTAAGAATAAATGAAAAAAATTTGTTATTGGTTTCTTCCAAGTTGACTTTAAGTAAGTTACATGTTACATGCATGCAAGTGGAGAAGTCTGAATAATCTGACTTGGTCTCCAACAATTAAGCCTGCTTCATATATTGAATAAACAACACTCAAAGGTGATGATGAAAGTTTCAAATTAATCCTAAAAATATGGCATAGAATAATAAATTCATGAAAGAAATTTCAAAAAAAAAAAAAGAACATTTACGGACTGTGGGAAGTTTAAGTGTGTAACAATGGACAGCATTGGACTTTACATTTTGTTTTTGGTGCCAATATTTAATTCTCTTCATTGTTGCCTTAACTAAAAATGCAAAACATGAAATTTCATTCGTCTATTAAAAATTCAAATTAGATATGATAATTTGTATATTTATATCACATAAAATATTAAAATTAATATATTCATATTATATTTTACATAATAATTACTTATTATATCACAATTCGTGTCAATACAAAAATATGACGTATATTTTTTTATTTTGTTGAATATATATATAGTTATTACTAAAATTTTAAATTTTATTATCTTTATATTTTATATCTGTATTATGTTTATATCATATCATTGTGTTATATTTTAAATTATTATATCTAATTTAAATACCTAAACATATAGTAGATCAAGAGAAGGGAAAAGCTGGCAACCCTTGTTATTATGTGGATTGAAAATGGTTGGTAGCAATGTCTCTAGATAAAAAAATAATTATTCATAAATTTATTAGACTTTATATAAATAAACTTGCTTAAAACGATAGAAAAAAATTAATATGTTAAATTAAGTCTAAAAAACTCTTCTGGCTAAAAAAAAATTAGGTGAATTACTCCGCAACTTGCATTCCATGGAACCAATATCGCAAGAAAGGTGAGATCCAAATTTTATAATAAAGAAAATGAAAGACAACAACCCTTTGATTACAGCTCAACAAGCCTAGACATTGACATTGCCAACACCCAAAGCTTTTGATGTATATTAAGAAGGGTTGGTCCAAAATTTATAATAATCTTATGGTGTCTACTTGAACAATTTATTAATTTATTTCGAGAATTATGTATAAAAAAATATTAAAAATAAAAACAATGTTGCTTTAGTGAAAAAAAAATGTTGCTTCTTTGCATGATCCATTTCTATATAGGAAATGGGAATTCATAATTTCAAAACACATGGAGCCACGTTCACATAATCTTAGAATTTTAATTAAAAATTAAAGGATGCATTTGGACCAACTTTTGCACCAAACTTTTTTACTAAGTATACTCTTTCTAACTAAACATGTTAGGATATTTTCCATAGAATATGGTCTAAGTTATGGAATTGGAAAATTGTGATGTTGACTTCTATATCATTTGCTAGGGTTTTACTCAATTTGGTTTCCAAACAAATTGGAAAGACAAATTTTAATTCCATTTTTTCTCTTTTCTTGTGAAAATGGAATTCAAAGAGAGGGATATATATATATATATATATATATTTAGTTTTTATGCTTACAACAAGACAATGCCATTTAATTAATAAAAATTTATCATTTCCCATCTGAACTTTATTTTTAACAAAAAATATTAAAAGTTCGAAAATTTTAATTAAAGATTTTAAATTATAAAATCTTAAAAATAAACACAAAATTTATATATATCCTGATAAAAAAAAAAACAAAAAGGTTGTAGAATAAAAGAGAATTATTTCTGACTACTTATTAAATATTCTAAGATTCAAAAATAATAGTTTCTTTTAAAAATTCAATGAATTTAATATATATATATATAAAATTCATCAGAATAAAAAGATTGATTCAATCAATGAATTTATAACATCAATTGCCAAAAAAGAATTTTATTTATCAATCCAACACAGTGGAAGTCCATCCCACTTTCCATATAAAATTACATTACCAATTTACCGTTACCACTTAAAAAAAAAAAAAGAAACATTTTAAAAATTTCTGAAAATTACAAGTCAAATTCCCCTTCCGTATGCCATACATTTTCCACGATTAGTATTGACATTTCAAGCAAAACCCAAACAAATAAAAATTAAAAATAATCCTAAATAATTAAATCAAAATTAATTAATTAGTAACCCCCTTTCTTTAATAAACCAAAGGAATAATACCTCTTTTGTCTCCTAAATTATTTTTTTTTAATATAATCCTTAAATAAAATTTTTTTAATCAAATACTTAAATGCTGTGGATAATATATGTCTATCATATAGATTTAGATGTGACTGTTAGTGTAAATTTTAAAATATAAAAAAAATTTAAAAAATAATATATGATAATCACATAATTATTATGTAACAATAACGTGTTATTCACTTTAACGTATAAATATCATATCAATTTTAATTTAAAATATAAAAAAATTGAAATAATTTAATATATAAAAATAAAGTTTAAATATTTAATTAAAAACTTTTTAATTTAAATACCACGGTAGAGAAATTATAATAGTTAGGGTTTGGGGATTTCCCCAACAAATAAATCTTAAAAAATTATACAACGTGTTACTGCTCTGCGTTAAATCCTTTGTTTATCTCTATTTCTTCCTTCTGCTAGAAAGAATTTGCAATACATCACCACATTCTTTTCCTTTGGTCTTCCTCAAAACTCGAAAATTTTGCAATAATTCTAATTTCTTCTCTTTTGTTCCTGATTTTCTAATGAAATATTGATTCAGTCCTGGAACTAATTCCAACAAATCCATCCAAAAGATCCTCTTTTCTCCAAAAAAACCCATATTTTCCCAAACTCAACCCAGATCCACCTTCATTGAATCCCCATTTTATTTGTTGTTTTAAACCCAGATAATTTTCATCAAAATAAGGATACCCAGATCTTAAAACCCCTAAAAAAAAATGAAAAACAAGTCCAAATTATTCACGATCGGGCTTGTAACAGCCTGGTACTCGTCCAACATTGGTGTCTTGTTGTTAAACAAATATTTACTAAGCAATTACGGTTTCAAATACCCAATCTTCTTAACCATGTGTCACATGACAGCTTGTTCTTTGTTAAGCTATATCGCAATTGCATGGATGAAGATGGTTCCCATGCAAACCATTCGATCTAGGGTTCAGTTTTTTAAGATCTCGGCTTTGAGTTTGGTATTTTGTGTGTCGGTGGTGTTTGGGAATATTTCTTTGAGGTTCCTGCCGGTTAGTTTTAATCAGGCCATTGGTGCTACGACGCCGTTTTTTACGGCGGTTTTCGCTTACTTGATGACATTGAAGAGGGAGGCTTGGCTTACTTATCTTACCCTTGTTCCTGTTGTTACTGGGGTTATCATTGCCAGCGGGGTATGCAATTGTCTAATTTTTGTTTATATTTTAATTGGTTAATGAAATTATTAGCCTTTTTTTTGGGAACGGGTTGGCTTTATTTGTTGGTTTGATATAATTTTAAGTGATGATAAAAGGGTTAATGAAAATTGTTGCTTATTTTTTTTTTTGGTGGGGGGGGGGGGGATTTATTGAGGATTTAATTGGAATGTGGAAATATGTTTTGCTTTATATTGTTGAAATTTGTGTTGGTTTGTCTGCTAATTTTGTTGGTTTTATTATTATTGTTATTTTTTTATTAATGGGAATGGTAGCCCTTTTTAGGGGGTTTATTGAGGATTTGATTGGCATGTGAAAATTGGTTACTTTATGTTGTTCAAAATTGTGTTGATTTGCTTTTTTTTTTTTTGTTAAGGTTCATATATTTGATTGGATAATGGAAATGTTAGCTCTTTTATATTTATAGAGGATTTGAACGGAACGTGGAAAGGATTGGCTTTATTTTATTGAATTGTGTTGGTTTTATATGATTTTAAGCGATAATAGAGAGGGAAAGAATGTGGGAATCTGATGCTGTTTTCCCCCATACTTTTAGGCTATAATATGTTTATTTTGATGTGAGATGAGAGGTTCAAAGTATTGTCTAGTTGTGAAAAAGTGGATTCTTAGTTCTTATTTGGATTTCATGACTGTCATGTAAGTCTGAAGAATCCATTAATAGTTGAAGGATTATGGTATGTTGAAGTTAGAGTTATGAACTGAAGTATTTGCTTTAAGCTTATTCAGTTGCTGAAACAAGGAATGGAAAGAAAAGAATTGCAAGATTGAAAATTTTGGTGTCTTGTTATTTGGAAGTTGGAACGAATGGGAATGTCCAAATTTTTAGCTTAATTTGAAGGTTTTCCAATGATTACAATTTGTGGATTTTCTTTTCCTTTTTCTTGGGTTTCAAATGGATGATATATCATTAACTCTGATATGAAAATCTTGTTATCGATTATGATTCATCAATGCTTCTCTTAGATTCTGCCTCTTCCCTCCTTTTCCTTTCTCTCCTTTTCCTCCTACATTTCTCATATTGTGTGTTTTGGTTGTGGCATTTAGAAGTGCGTGGTCTGAAATTTTGTCCTCTATTTGATTTGAGAACCTTCAAATTTCCTCTTTTTGTCTTTATAAATTTAAAATTTTGTGTTTTGCATTATTCACATTATTTATTTTATTTAACTAATCTGCTCTCTGATTGTTTTCTTATTTCATTTTTTTACATGGCCATAGGGAGAACCAAGTTTCCATCTATTTGGTTTCATCATGTGCGTTGCAGCTACAGCTGCAAGAGCTCTCAAGTCAGTTTTACAAGGCATTTTGCTTTCTTCTGAAGGGTGAGGAATTCTTATGCCTTTGCTTCTGCTTTATATTGTGGTTGATGGCTTAACTTTTATATATTTAAATTAATTCAGAGACTGGTACTGAATGATTCTTCTAATTTTATTTTAGAGAGAAGCTGAATTCCATGAACCTTCTTCTCTACATGGCTCCAATAGCAGTTGTATTTCTACTTCCTGCAACACTCATTATGGAACAAAACGTGGTTGGTATTACCCTTGCCCTGGCCAGAGATGACATCAAGATCATTTGGTATCTATTATTCAATTCAGCACTAGCATATTTTGTGAACTTGACCAACTTTTTGGTCACAAAACACACCAGTGCCTTGACCTTACAGGTATGACATGCATGATACTTGTTGCAGGCTTTTCTCAGCTTCTTCCCCCCCCCCCCCCACCCTATTTTTTGGCTTTTAGGAATTTGGTACATTTGTTTTGTATCTTTTTTTAAAAGAAAAAAAAAAGTTGAAGAGAATGGATTGTTTAAATCTTTTTATGCAATATGAAATTAAAGTCCAATAAGTACACTTACTAGAATGATCAAACAAAAAAGTGATTCTGAAGGTTTGACTTCTTCAAACTTCTAAGATCATGAATTGTATCCATTTTAGTTGTTTATAGAAACCAGCTTGATTACTATAAGTGTTTGTTCTTTATAAACTTTCCATAGGAATGACCATTGTATTGTATGGTTAATTGTGCTTTCTGCCTTTCATTTTCCAATGCACACATTCCCTTCCCCCCCTCCTCCCCATCTTATTTTTGCTTGATTATGCCGATATTCAAACAGACATTAATGTAAACTTTTCGAGATACTGAGATGTTTACTGTTGCAGGTTCTAGGAAACGCAAAAGGAGCTGTAGCTGTGGTGGTTTCAATTCTAATTTTTAGAAATCCAGTTTCTGTTACTGGAATGCTTGGTTATACACTCACAGTCTTTGGGGTTGTACTCTACAGTGAAGCCAAGAAACGAAGCAAATGAGACATCATCCTAGGAACATCATATATGTATGATCTTCATATATTTTGTTTCCTTTATTGCGAGGACAGCGACAATGTTCAAAGAGGCAGGTTTGGGCCTTGTAGTAGCATATGATGCCATGGATTTTGCGCCCTAGATTCTTTTTTTTTTCTCCCCACTGGAAGCCTGGGAAAACCGGTTTTTCAATTGTATCGGCAACAGCTGCGGGATTAGTTAAAAGTTAGAAAACTCCAATAAGTTAATGGTTGGTCTCTATCATTCCCAGCTTGGGGTTGTAGAGGAATATCATTTTAATGTTTTTTATTCTTTCAGGAAAAGGTTGTAGAATTGGTCTTTACACAGCCAGTCTGTTATTAACATTTCTAATATTGATTAATTAATGAAAAAAGCCTCATAAGTTTACCATTTTATTGTATAAATGTGTTAATATATAGTCTTTCTGTATATGGTAACTATGGATGTATGATGGTGTGATCAACACTCTTTGGTTTTTCTTGGCCACGGTATTGACTCTTTATTCATCAAACATTCATGATAACCATGTGATCATGATATTCAAAGATCTCACACCCAACAAGAGGACCTCTATAAGCCCTTAGTTGCCAAAGATGAAGCTCTTTGTTATGAAGAAGCTTAATCAATAGTCCTCTCTATAACCCTAGAAGGAAGCCTTTGGCTAGGAACAAGTGTAGATTCATGCCACATTGAGGGAATGATAAGAATCCATAACATCCATATCTTTTTTCATTCACAAACTATCCAAAAGTTGTTGGTAATTTGCCCGAGTCAAAGGTTCCATACATGTCATCATTAAACCTACTATTTCCTAACATTTCCTAACATCTTCACATCCTATATCCAAAATACTGACCAGTGATTATACAAAAAAAGTTATGTAATAGTTGGATAATGAAGTTAATGTAGTCAGATGCAGCTATTATTCAACATCCATTGTTTCAACCTCTGCCTTAGCTTCCACTTGAGGATTAGTTTCATCCATTTCTATCTCCTCTTTAGGTTTGATATCTATCTCAGGCTTGCTCTCCACCTTGGGCTCACTTTCATCATCACTTTCAATCTTCTCCAGCTTAGTTTTTGGCTCCACCTCTAGTTCGTTCCCCTCTTCGATTTCAATCACCTCCTTAGATTTGATCTTCTTAGGTTTTCTCTCCACTTTAGGATTGACATCTGCTTTAGTCTTGGTGCCCACTTTAGGAACATTCTCCTCCTGAGGTCCAGTTCCCTCATCTTCTTCAATCTTGGGAGCCAAGTAGAACCTCATGTAACCCATAGTTTCCATCTTGTACTCAACTACAATTGGCATATCATAGGACATGCTGATTGTCACTTGCCCTGCCAATGGAGTTGCCTTTGTGAATGCAATCAGGTACCTCGATGCAAACGTCAGAGAAACTGGCTCCGCCATTTCTATAACAGTAGCTTCTTCCTTCTGTCAATGCATAAAACAACCATCAGCTGCCCAGTTTCTAATGCCTATGCCATCTTCTAGATAAAGTTCATGAAACCAGAAGCAGACATCCAAGAACACATTGGAAATATCTACTGTTTTCATGCCGTGACAAACAACTAGAGGAAGTTTCAGGTAAAGTATGATGAAGATAAAACATAATGTTACCTTATCTACTGCAGTGTTTTTCCTGCAAATGATATTGGCAGTCCCAATATCACCTTTGGTAGAGAATTGCACCCCTTCTTTTGTCACAGATATTATGACTGCAATCAAGACATCAACCATTGAATCAGAATTCAAAATCTTGATGAATAAACACAAAAGATGCAATTCTTGCAATGAAATATGGTGGGGGCACCCTGTACCAGTATCACCAATGGTGCCTAAATCCTTGCAAATTCGAGCAAACTCAGATGCTGACATTCTAACAATGGCTTGGTATTCTGCTTCTGGGATCCCAAGGTGCTCACTATCAATATCCATCAGCTTCATCTCATAATCAGAAATCTTATCTTGAGCTGCAAAACCATGAAAGAAGAACCGACAATAAACAGACAAGCCTCAATACTTTAAGTATAAAATCAGTTTAATAACAGTGTCCCTAAAACCTTCTATCAGATTCTCATGAAATTTCATTTTCCAGGATAAAAAGATTCATTTTATTACCTTAAAAACGATAGAGCAAAGCAAGAGTTGATATTTAGTCAGAGATTCAAAAAAAAGATCCCTCTTCTTTTCTTGATTTTCTTGACAACCAAAGAACAAATAACTATCAAAACTACGAAAGAAGAACCAGGAATAAACCGACAGGCCTCGAAACTTTAACATAAAATCATTGTAAGAACAATGTCCCTAAAATCTGGTACTAAAATCCATGAAATTTCATTTTCTAGGATAAAAGATTCATTTTATTACCTAAAAGACAATAGAGCAAAGCAAGATTTGATTTTTAGCCACAGAAGACAAGAAAAAGACCCCTTTTCTTTTTCTTGATTTTCTAGTTAACCAAACAACAAAACCAAGAGTTCACAAACAAAAAAAAATCCCATCAAAACCCAAGAACTCTTTTATACACTTCAACCAATTAAACAAGATTTTAAAAAAAAAAAAAACGAGAAAGAGAAAAGAAAGTTCTTACAAGGGCTTTCAAACATAAACGTGACAGTATCACTACCATCATCAGCTTTTATAGTGACAGTGTCATCATCGGAGGCGCAACGTAGCATCTTAGCCATGTTACCCAGGTTCATCCCCATGGAAATGTTATGGTCACAGCGGTAATGTTCAAATCCATCAGAGCGAAGAAGGAGAGCCACCAGGGCCACATGGCTTGAATCCATGGCCTGAAGAGAAAACCCAGTTGCTGAACAGTCGAAGTTTGCATCTGTTACCAAGTCTTTGATAGATTCCAACACTTTCTTCAGCAAACCCGCCTGTGTTAGCCTTAACTCCAACATTGTTTTTTCGGATTTTTCAAAATTTATTTTTGAGTTCTAAGGAAAGAGAGGTTTGTGTTTGCTTCTTTATAGTTGTAGGGGGTGTGGGGCTTGTTTACTTGGCGGGAAAAAGACCATTCCCGCCAGAAACTTACCATCTAAACGTTGTCGTTAAGACTTAACATGAATAACATAAAATTTTCTCTTAAATGGGAAAGTTTATTCATTTGCTACTTTAACCTTGTCCTGATTAAATTAAGAAAAAACGAAACAAAAGGGAACAAGTTCAGGCTTTTTTTCTTCCATGAGCTTACTCTCAAGCTACACATAAACATTGTTTCCAACTATAAAAATGAAAGGAAATGTACATGGGAAAATATATCTCATTGAATTCTCAATAGCTCTAAATCCCCGGGCTGGCCACGCCTCCGCAGATATTACTCTCTGCTTTCAAAGTTGGATCGTTTGGATCATCCCTGCGCTTTTTCCAGGCTGTTTCAAACTGTTGGCCTTTGCATCTGGGATTACAGAAAAAAAGGATTGGGGAAATGGATAAAAGATTGTTTAGAAAATGCTTGACAGATTTGTAATGTGACTTTACTGCTGAAGCATGATAAGTATATTACGAACATCTATTCGAATTTCTTCACGTGCCCTTCTCAGTGCTGCTTCTTTGAATGATACAATAAGTTCATCTACCAATCTGAACATAATGGGATGTGAACAAGATTGATAATCATGGAGAAAGGAATCCGGGAAGTAAAGTCAATTCAATCAAAAGTAAATGCTTTAGTTAATAATACACACCGTTAAGAGATGGCATGTGGAAAAATTATAGAATCTTCAAACCAGAGTTTGCAACAAACAGTAAGTGGAAAGAAGAGGACGATAACAGGTTTTGAAGTTTAGAGCAACTAAAATTGCGTCTAGAAGGAACTTCAAAGAAGAAATTTTTCGAAGGATCACAAATGAAATTCACATGATTGAAATTCCTAAAATGAGACAGCATTAAGAAAATATCTGCATTGTATTTCATTTTTCTCTAATCATTTCAACAATCATTGAGCATAAAACCAGTTTTAAAAAAATGGCATTTAAAATGATGGAACAGATTAATATTCAGTTCGATTGAACTATAAAATCACCTAACTATAAATCAAGAGTAACGATGAAGCATAGTTACTTAGTTTACCTTTCAACATATGGTGTGTTTCGTATGCATGTTATCCTAACGACCGTTTGAACACGTTTGAGAACCTGCAAAACATTGAAATGTTGAATGAAAGATTCATTCCCATGACTTCCCAAAAATTCCAGCACCGGTTAATTACTTTTTAATTTGAACCAGTAGTTAAACTGAAATTTGCTGAGCAAGAAGATACAATAATTTCACCAGTGGAACTGTTTCATCATCATCAACATGCATTCACTGGAAGAAAAGTAGGAAAATATGCCTAAAATGGGCTAATAACAACAGGCCAATGGCATTGTGAACTGGAGCTATTCTCCGTGCATTGTCTTTGGAGTTTCGTTTTCTAACTTCACCTGCTTGCTAGTACCCTCATCTCTATCAACGCCAGTGGACTTAAGAAGAAGTCTTTGACTGATGATTTTGTTGATAGGAGAGAATCGAGCGTTGATTTTGTGGAGAAATTCGTGGTTTCTTGAGTATATGGCGTTTCGAGAGCGAGGATTGGCTTCGTTAATCCGAAAAAGAATTCACATGACAATTTCTTTTACAAATGAGGGGAACTTTATAAATTCATCTACAAAACAAAAACAAGACCAAACATCAAAGGTCCCGAGAAACATCCACTTCTTCATATGGTATCTTGCAAGAGTTGTTTTATAATCAATCAAAAAAACCATTAACATAGTCGCAGATCAATGAGCTAAAGTGAAATATAGAGAAACCCGAGTTTTTTTGTTAGTTCCTCTTGAACATAAATCAAAGAAAACACACCAACAAACATGAGGAAAGATGGAAAACATGGAAATAATATAGATAGATTCAAATTTCTGGAACAGAGGCGGTCGCGCGCTTAATTGATGCAGACTTGATAAGGTGGTTGTAGCTTCCTTTCTCCTTGAAAAGCTGGGAGAAGTGGTGTTTGCAATACAAGATACCCTCAAGGGCTGCATAGTTTGAAGGGCTTATAGGACAGCCACCGTGAGAGCACTTGAAACATGATTTGTGGTAAGACTGTCCTTCCACTGTTACCTGTTCAAATTTGGCACAAAAAAAGCCTCATTTTAGCAAGGGACATTTTACTAGACTAGCGGGCATTGAAGTGTGACACCGTTACAAAGAAAATTAACATGGCTTGTGCATTATTAAGCATTTCAATGATGTTTGTAAGCAGATATAGTTGAGAAAACATGCAGTAGTTTTAACAGATTGAAATTTATAAATCATCAACTGTAAGAATTATCAACAGTTTGACCTCTTCTTGAAAACATACTTCAATTCGTACAGGCTTTAACTAAAATATTTCATCAGTTCAAGAACTTGCCCAGCTAGAAATTTTTACTTTTAGAAACTAAGTCTTATCACCTTTAAAGAAGGAATTAACAAAAAAGGAAACTCCAAAATCACCTAAATATAAAAAAGTGAAACGAAACATATTTCACTGGGAGTAAACCTTGTAAAGATTCAGATGAAAGTACTAGGCTTAAACGCACCAATAAGTTAGGACTAAGTTAACAAGAATGAGGGTAAAAAAGGGGGACAGGTAGGCAGAAATTAAAGTCTTGCAATTGCGGGGAAAAAAAAAACATTTTCAGCACAATGACTAATTGGGATCTTTGAATTTTACCTTCTCAAGCGGATAAGCAGTTTTGCCACAAGTAGCACATTTTTCTTGTGTTCCTGAAAACATGCCGGCAGCTTTGCTAGGTGATCTTGTCTGAAATCAACACAAGCTATTGGGAATTAGCAAAAACATCCAGTAACCTAAAACACACCCTATGATGAAATTTTTGACTTAATAAAACACATGCAGTGTTGCAAGGGAGATTTACCAGTTCAGGAGTTAACTTCTCAGCTGACTTCACAGCTGCTGACAATAAAATTAATGGCAAATTAAACCAACAAAACAAAACTATCAAGAAATCATATAAAGGATTTCATCCAGCAAGAGCAAAAGACTTACGTGACTGAAAATTCTTGTTGAAGTTACCCGTCTCCTTGAAGAGTTGCTCAAAATGAGGCTTGCAATAAAGGACACCTTCCATCGAGGAGTAATTACCCAACTGGAAATATACAAGTCAAGCTGCTAAGTTAGAAGCAGAAACTTCATTACATAAATTAACAAAGTTGGTAAACAGAATCTATCATGTAAACAACTCTTGTTCACAGAGCCAATTCTCTAACAAATTATGAGCGTATAACATGGAAAATTCTTTTTTAATGAAAAAGTAAATTAAAAAAACCTGTAGTAAGATAAGGACAGCGTCCAAGTTACTCCTTAGAATACCGTCTGATTACACATTTTAACTATGAGCTACTAAATTAACTGAGGAACAAAATAAAAGGCCTTAGTAACTTGAGCAAAAATGCAATAAATGGCAATAGATATTTCTTATGCCATTTACTTTAAACCTAATCAATGTACAAAACAAGCATGTCAACTATATTTTCATCTATATCAACAAATAAGGCAGAAAATGATCGAAAGCAATTAAAAGCATTACCTTTAGCGTCCCTTTGCAATGACTGCATTTGAAACAAGACTTATGGTAAGGAACCCCATCTGCTGACAAAAGTTCCACTGGATAAACAGTCTTCTCACAAGCCTTACATTTTTGCTGGGTACCGATAAAAGACATGGCTAGAATATGCTTTAGATATAACCGTACTGTTCTTTATCTAATTCCACAGATCAGCTTTAATTCAATTTCCTCTCTTATATTTGCCAATATCAACTGCTCAAAGATGTTAAACAAGCAACCAGAAACACAATTCAGAATCAGACTATGTCAAATTCAACTAAATTAGCTATAAAATTTAGAACTTGGAATCAGTTATTAATCATTAATTATGGTCTAAAGAAAACCTAAATGCCTATCCATAGAACTTTTATACTCCTTTTTTAACAGTAAAAGCAACACAAACAAAACATTATCTCATAAACTTAATGAACTTTAACCCTTATTTAAAATCATCAAAACCCAAGATCTGGGGCTTCAAAAAGAATCATAAACAAAACAAAAAATCCCATGCAAAACCAAATTAGCTGATCTAATTTGAAAAACTTAGAACAAAAAAAAAAGTACCCAAAAAGAAATAATCAAACAACAGATAGTAACAAAAATGGGTCAAACATTAAAGCTGAAAAGGCAATAAAAAATGTACCTTGATCGATGAAGTCCCTGGATCTATGAAATAACAAGAAACAAGAACAAAATGAGAAAATGAGAGTTAAAGATTCAAATGTTCTTTTGGGGATTTAAGGATAAAGAAAAGGAGACTGAGGTCTAAGAAAAAATAGTGAAGGAGAGTCAAAGAGGAGGTGGGATTGGGTACCTTTTGCAGCGAGCAGATGCTGTTGAAGGGGATGATGATGATGATTGTTGGGGAGAGATAATGAGAAAGTATTGGGATTTCGATTTAAAGAAAGAAGAAAAGAAATTTCTTTGTTATGTTTTGCTGAATGGAACAGGTTCGGCTTTACCCTGTCTTGTTTCAATTCCAACCCAACAACTATGGTGGCTGTTGCTGTTTGAGATTAATTGACAACGTTAACCCCTTTGTTTGTTTTCAGACACAATCTAAATTTATTTTAGCTTTACCCTACTTTTACTTCTAACTGAATGCTGTTCACCCTTGATATTTATAATTATTTATAAATTAAAATAAATAAAAAATATTTTACCAAAAAACTCTTATTTTGAAATAAAATTTATAATTTAAATTTCAAAAAACATTTTTTAAATGATAGCATGAATTAAACTTTGAAAAATTATTAAAAATTTTAGTTATATGCAGTGAGTTTCATGTTGTATTATAAAAAAATTATAAATGCATTTCAAGTGAAAGGATGGTTGATAATTCAAAATATTTGATTGTTTTTTAAGTATAAATGTATGGTTCATTGTACCTGAAGAAAGGGTAAATCATGGATTTTATTTTTAAGACTTTGTGCCACGGCTTCGCTGCAATGTGACTGAGGGAGCGCAGTCTTGGATTGTTATTAAATTTGATAATTTAAAATATGATATAATAATATAATATTAATAAAATATAAATAATTTAAAAATAATATAATTTAAAATTTTAATAACTATTATATATAATTTAATAATATTAACAAAATATTTTTTATGTTTTTTGTTAATCTAAATTATAACAAATATTTTTATATAAAATATAATTTAAATATATAAATTTTAATATTTTATATTATGTGAATAAATAAATCATTAAATTTAATTATGAACAAAATGGGATAATTGATTTTTATAAATTTCACTACGACTATTTTTTTTTATATTTTAAGGCAAAGGGGGTGAAAATCGTGCTAGACATTTTCAAATGCCATTGCGCACGCTGTTGACAACTTCTATAATGACCTATAATTACCTTAAACCACGAAAAAAAAGTTTAAAAAGCATCTTTATGGATGTCTTTTTTTTTTTTTTTTTCTTTCTTGTCAATTTTTTATCAAAATAATTAAGAAATATACTTCACTTTTTCTTGTTAATCAAAATTCAATCCTTATAATTAACATTTAGAATAAAATTCTAAATGTAACATAGCATTATCATCAAATATATATTTAAATTCACGACTAGAGATAATAATGATTTAAATTACATTCGATTCGGTTCTATTATTTTAAATAATATATAATATTATAAATTTTTTAAATTTAATTTAAATTTAAATTAATTTTTTTTTAAAATCGATTTGATACAAATTTAATTTTATCAGTTTAATTCTGTTTATTAATTTTTATTTTTATATATTATTTTAATATATTTAAATAAATTTATATATAAATTAATTATTTTTATTTTATAAAATTTAATTTTTATTTTTATATATTATTTTAATATATTTAAATAATTTTATACATAAATTAATTATTTTTATTTTATAAATTTTAAAATATATATATAAATTAATAAAAATATATAATTTGATTCAATTTAATTCGATTTGATTTTCACATTTTAATCTGAAATTTAATCTAAATTTAATATATATTTAATATCTAACTTTGATCTAAATTAAATAAAAAAATCAATTCAAACTAAATCAAATAATATAATTTTTAATTATTTTTTAATTATTTTTAATTTTTTTCTCATCGAGGGTTTTATTTGCTTTTTCAAAATAGACCCGGTTTAATTATATTCAAAAAAGTGAGTGGGATGGTCCAAAGTTGATATCAATTTGGACTAGGCCGATAACCCGATCCATATTTCATTCGATCACCCTCTCCTTTCAGGCTGAGCCCAAATAAATGAAATCTATACCCTTCCGCACACAATCCCCACCTCGACAACCAACCTTTCCCGCCCAAAATAACGAACCCTTCGTCTTTCTGCAGTAACTGCCTCAGCTTAACTAACTTGCTTTTTCGCTTCATTTCCCAAGCAGAAAAAAGAAGCTCTTTGAAACACCAAGAAAATGCCTTCCTTTCTCTTCTTTTCCCTCCTTTTCCTCTCCTTCTTCCACTCCACCTCCGCTCTCCCTTCCATCGGAGTCACCTACTCCTCCCCTTCCCCCGCCGCCACAACCACCAACCATCCACCACCATCACCTGATAAAATTTCAACCACCATCTCGACCCTCAAGATCACCAGCGTCCGCCTCCCAAACGCTGACCCGTCTCTCATAAAAGCCTTTGCATTCACCAACACTTCCATTTTCCTCTCCATCGCAAACCCTCTCCTCCCTGCTCTCGCCTCCAACCGTTCCCTCGCTCTCCGCTGGCTTTACCGCCATGTCCTCCCTTTTTACCCTCGTTCCAAAATTACCCTCATCTCCGTAGGCAACGCCGTACTCGATTACTCCACCGCCCAAGAAGACTTCTCCCCTTTTTTGCTTCCAGCAATGAGGAACCTCTACCTGGCACTTCAAGAACTGGGTATTAACAAAATCCCAATCTCCACCACTTTCTCTTTCTTCTCCACAATCACCACCGCTTTCCCGCCGTCCTCCGCCGAGTTCCAACAACCCGCCGGTGACCTTATCATAAAACCCTTGCTCCAATTCTTGGAACAAACAAATTCCTCTTTCTTGATCAATATTTACCCTTACAATCTTTTTCGTCTCAACAGCGAAATCCCAATTGGTTTTGCTTTATTCCAAGACTACCCTTTTAACTTCCGAGACGATTTGGTCACTGGGGTTAGGTATTTCAACCTGTTTGATATGATGGCAGACGCTGTATTAACTGCCATGGCGGTAATGGGGCACGAGAATATTCCGCTGGTCGTGGCGGAAACAGGGTGGCCAAGTGGTGGAGGTGAGGCTGGGGAAGTTGAGGCAAATGGGGTTTATGCGGAGATGTATTTGAAGGGATTGGTGAGGCATTTGAAGTCAGGGGTTGGAACGCCATTGAAGAAAGATGGGGTGGCTCAGGTTTATGTTTACGAGTTGATGGATCATGAGGGAGGCGATCATAGGGAAAGAGCGAGGCAATGGGGCATTTTATCGGAGAACATGACAAGGAAATATAATGTTGAGTTTTCCGGTGCGCCTAAGATTTCTGGGTCGTTTGGGATTTATTTCTTAGGCGTCATGTGGTTATTACTTGGGTGCTTTTGATCTTTGTGAATGTGGGTATGTGGCTTTTGCACATATCTGACAGAGAGTTAGGATTGACAGCTGAAGATTCTTGAAGATTTTAGCTGGCTTTTGTCTGTTTGTTTTGTAGAAGAGATTATAGTGGCATCCCTTTTGTGTATTTCTGGGATTGTTTCAGGCTGGTATTTTAGCTTAGTTTGATGTTTCTATGGGTTTTCTGGGGTTTCTTTCAATGAAGGCAAGACAGTTTTAGGTGCTAAATCTTTTAGCAATTTAGTGGATACGAGTAGTTAGGGATTTCTATCGGGAATCTGATGATTATGTACTTGAGTTCAAAGTTCGGAGTAATGAGGCTTTTCAATGAGATTTTGGCTTTGTTCTTCATATTACTATTTCTTGTTTTATCTTTTTGCTAAATTCATCTTGTTTCAGCTTTGCTTGTTTTCTACAATGAGTCATTTCTCATTTGTCATCCTCAATTGTTAATTACTGCTGGAGGCTAAATTTTAGCCCTTTTGAGGTCACAAAGAAATGTCTCATTAAGCAATGTTTATGTGGCTATAATTGAAAGTTTCATGCAGAACAAGCAAATTAGAGCCCATGGGTCCTCCACCTCTTGGTCTAATGGCTAAGTAGGCTTTAAGAGGATATAGAGATCCTAATTTCGAGTCAAGATCTCTTTTTGTTTTTATTCTTGTAAAGGTCATGCCTGCTTTTAAAAAAAAAAAAGTGACGGTCCATTCCATATTTCCACAGCATGGACAAAGTTGATGGGCCAGATTTTGGGATGGGATTGGGGTAATGTTTGATGGATATGCTCAGTTTACGATGTTAATGAACAACTGATCCATGTTTTAAGCTGGGTGAAATGGATTCAGCAATTGGGTCACAAAACAAAAAAATATTATCCTGGGCCTAATGGATTCACATTTCATGCTTTGCCTATTTTGGAGGTAAAGTATCATCAATTCATCGTCTCCAGGTTTTATAGTCACCCGAAGAATCTTAAATGCAGCTCTCTCGATCTAGCAGGTATTGATCACCATTTCACTCTTTCTTCTCAGTAGTTTTTCATTCTAGCTTCTTCATGGAGAATTTTGATTTAATGCCCATTAATTTTACCAATAATGTGTGAAATAGGGATTATCTTATTTCTACTTCTTGAACATGCAATAGGTATTGGTGGCTGAGGATTATATACTGAAAAGTCTAATTACCAGGGCCACTGGTAATGGAATGGATCATGAAATTGGAATTGAGGCCTTTTCTAGAGGTCAATGGAAAGATACAAATGTCTGGAAGCCAATAGAGATTCAATCTAGCAGTCAAAGAATCTCAAATAATCTCAAGACACCTAAGCTGATAAATAACTACTACTGTACAAGTCATTTCTCTCTTTGAAAGCCGCAACCGAAGATGAAAAATGGTTTTGAAGAACATTGCTGGATGTCAAATTATGTTGGAATGAAATTCAGCTAAGCCCCTGGTTCCCAGATGACAGTGTGTTAAACTTTGCTGCAGAAGAAATTCGAAAATCACTATGCAAAGAACAACTCATTGGACACAAGATCTAGTGTGAAAGTCTCCATCTTTCAATGTGATTTTGGGAATAGTAGTATAGAGGGTTCGGAAGCTTAAAAACATGTCTTCCAACAGACAAGCCTGTTAAGGCATCCATTTGGCTGCTAATCACACTGACTATTTCAGTACCCTTTTTCTCCATTGCCGCTCTTCGTCTAGAAAAGTATTCGCGTGTATCCATTTTCATTTCGCTATCCAACCTGCAAGAGTTCCCTGGAAATTTTAACCAGCTGCATTGAACACAGGCACTCCAGAAATACAAAACAAAGCTGATATTGTTAATGCTCTCAAATGAAACAAGCATCATCTGTACCCCCATAAAACAACCATCATTAACCTGAATTCAAGCAGAACATTTATTTTGGAAGATATGTAGAGGTGATAAGCAAACATAAAATTTCAAAATTACCTTGCCAATTAACTACTAATGCCCATAAGATCAAATTTTCGAGAAGATGAAAAGAAAGCAATACCTCATAATCAAAGATGACCAACCACTATATCCTAGAGAATTAAGGTGTTCAATAGTGACATTTTGCTGTCTCTCAGGCTTCCTGGATAACAGGATCAAAGACCATCCTCTGGACTGAAGTTTCACGTACAATTCCAGAGTTCGCAGGTGCCTCAGATAGGTTGCATCTTCAATGTAACCACTAGGTTCGCTATTGCCATATTGTTTGAACCTGAGGCAAAACACAGATTTTAACCCTGTTAAGTGATGTATAATAAATAGTTTTACTAGCAGAAAAACTGAAAGGCAAAACCGATAGAGAAAAACACAAAACATTCAGAATCAATCAATTTGGCTAAGATTGAGAAAATGGTCAAGATAAAAAATAACATGGGTGAAAGATGAACTATTATCCAAATGCAGAAAATGTGTAGATCAATTGAGGGGATTACTGGTGCATTAATTGTTTGGAGTACTGTGGATCTGAAGGAGGGATGTCATCTATGTCCATTAACACCACATCCAGATGATTATTTGATGGTGAAACAGTATTGAAAAAACTTTCAATCATCCACATTGTGAAATTTAAATCTCGTGCATATTCTCCTCCTTTGATATATTGAATGGCAAGACTCCTGCAGACTGAAGGAACCTCATCGGCTTCCAAGCTGTTGAGCTCTCCATGAAGCGCAAAAAGATTGCAATAATGGTAGCTATCACTTGCTTTCTCAATTTCCACAACTCCCTTGCTCCTGCTTTCACAGGATTGCAACATTACTGCTAATGTGACCAGCAAAGTTACTAATAGAATCCCAACGGTTACAAGAGCAGCAATGAAGATTGTTGCAGCAAAAGATGTCATGTAGAATCCTGACTCAACCGCGTAGCGGCTTCCCATCTCCGTTCCTAAAGAGAACAACCAAGATTAATATGTATATGTCAGACATCAAAAGGTTCAGCAGTAGCAATCTCATAAAGAAACATCTATGCATGGATCCGAAATCAAATAATTAAATAGATGAAGCACTTAACCTATTAAAACAATGCTGCATACTACATATTTTCCCCCAAACTGTTTAGATCTTTGGGCAAATTTAACTAGTTGACATCAGAGTTTTGGATAATAAATTCAACCATGATATTATCAAATTCAGTCCAGGCATGCCAAGTGCTTAAAAGCCTCTCAGGAAAGGGACTTCTAATATGTGAATTGAAACAACTCTTGAAATCTACAAGGAAAGTGAAATCAAATCAACAAGTGCATGTATACCAGTATCTCCCCTACTTAAAAGACTCCGAGCGGAGAACTGCCGCTCCATTTGATGGCCGTAAGCTGACATTGTGATTCAGATAGCAGGCTGCAAATATATCTAGATCCAGATCCCTTGCAAATTAAAGAAGGGTCACCTGCAACAACAAATAAAAACCAACTGATATATATAAATCCTCCCTTTAGCTGCCATATTGAGGCAAACACAGGGGTGACAATCAAGACAAAATCCCAAATATAAAGCCAAAAAACCTTGCAAGCAGCTTCATCTACCATGGTATGAGCTAACAGTAGCCCATCTCAACTTCATTGCCCACATTTTTAGCCACAAAAGGAGGGAAAAGATAAGGCTAGAAATAATAAAAAGGGGTATTCCTTAAAAGCTCCTCATGTTTCATATATATTAGAATTCAGAAAGGTTTTAGAAAACTACAGAGACAACCAAGATCCATCTCTCTTTTAAAGCATAGCCAAAAAAACTGAGGAAACAAGTTTTGACACGACAAAACCAACCATCCATTTTCGTTAAAAATATTTCCAAAAGGATGAAAAGGGTCCACAAATCTTTAACTTATTAGACATAATCACAAACAACAGTCCAAATTTTGCCGATCAACTCACTGCTTAACAGAACAGTGTGGTAAAAAGAATAAAACAACAATTAAAAAAATGAAACAACTTCCTAACTTAAGCACCATGAGACATGAAACAAAGCTGAATCCAACCAAATCAAATTCTGATGCAATTATTTATTGCAAAAACTGGTATATTCCCACAATCTCAAACAACCTTAAAACAAGACAGAGGGAGAGAGAGAACCTGAGAGAGGCATTTGAAGAATTGGGCAAAAGTGGGAAGAGAGCAGAAGATAAGAAAATGAAACATCAACTAAACTAAAAGCTTAGAACTGATTCAAGACAAGTAAATAACAACTGTGCCTTTCTCGTGGAGAAGCTTTCCTTTTTGTACTGTTTTGATTATTGCTAATGGCCTTTTGTCACGGACGATGATGACTTTAATATGTGACAATTTGTGGAGTTTTTTCCATGAAAACAAGGAGATTGTTCCAGGGCTACAACTTTTTGCTTAATTTAATTTTAGTTACAACTTTCTTAAATTTATTGAAAATATAAAACGTGGGGTCCACCATCTCAATAATTCAATGTACTCATTGCATCGCACTCTGCACCAATAATGTTGGAACAAAGACAAAAGACAAAAGATTCTGTTCTGTTTGTTAAGGTAACGTGTAATGAAATTCTAAAGGTAAACCTGCTGAAGAATCTCTCAGAAACGTTTCAAACTTCGTCTAATCTCTCCGTTGTTCGATTATGGTTAAGATTGAATGGTAAATTCTAGCGTACAAATATGGTCGTAGAACTTACTTACCAAGTACAAAGTCTTACCGGTTAAAGAAAACCATGGTTTTGTTGCAATGAAAGATAAGGAACTTGATTAAGAATCCATAGGGAATGGGGGAAATTTTAGGAACAGAAGCTTCAGCACAACAATTTCAAGTTTATTTTCATAAAGACCGCTTTCAAAATTTCACCTCAGACTTACGAACCAATGTACATGATAAAATTATTACAACATGTGATCAATGAGGGACTGTTCACCTGTACCATGTCCGAGTTTGTTTTTTTAAGGATAACTATCATACGATATCATTTTAACTCTTAACCGTCTCATCTAATGCAAGAAAATCATCTAATGCAAGGAACAATGAATTGCCGGTTCAACAATTATTTTCATGGCTAATTCTTTCAACTACATGTTTCTAAGACCTTGGTTCCATTTATCACGTTCACAGTTGAATCTACTGTCCTGGCTAATTCAATAGCTGCTCCGACGTAGGAATGTGGTGTTAAGTTCAAAAGATGGGTCTTCGCTTCTTTGGGTAATTCCAAGCCTTCAATAAATTCCCTTATACTTTCTTTGGTAACCGCCCTTCCCCTAGTTAGCTCCTTTAGCTTCTCATAAGGCTCTGGAACACCATATCTCCGCATGACCTATACATAAGTTAAAAACAAACAAAAATGAAGCGGATTTTATATGGGAGAAAAAGGAGCCTGAAAATTGAGCACTAGCATCTCATCCAAGCGACAAGGTATCAAACGAAAGGATCTAACCCACTACTGTTTTATGCTTGAAAAAAGATAAACCAACATATGGAATAAGATAAATGAAGACCAGAAGATACATACAGTCTGTATTGGCTCTGCCAGTACCTCCCATGCCTCGTTCAAGTCTTCACTTAATCGAGCTTCATTAACCTAAAATGAAAATGGAGTTTAAAAGGGATGGAAGCATGCAGCAGAAGTAGCTTTTAGAGTAAAGAACCCAATACTACAATTTGGCGAAGAATCAGCAAAAGCTGTTGCTTCATAGGTGATATCAAGCTTATGAGTTGAAGAAAACATACCAATGTGCCTTACAATAAGTCATTGATGTATCACAGAGTCCAAAATTTTGCAGATAAATAACTAAAAAGTTGCACTCATCTACTAAATACCTTCAGCACTAAAATGACGACCATGCACTTCAAGGAGATTGGAACTTTTCTGTTAAGTGGCATACCTGGAGCTTTCCTATTCCTTGTAATGCACTTTTGTAAGCAAGAAGAGAATGGCCTAGTCCTCCCCCCATGTTCCTCAAGACAGTTGAATCAGTCAAATCTCTCTGCATATTCAACACATAAGAAGAAATGTATTCTTTGTTAGAATAGACTTCTAATAGCTATGAAGTTTACATGCATAAAATCATGCCCGCTATCTAAAATATTAGAATAGAACTAGCATATGGTCTTACCTGCCAACGTGAAATGGGCAACTTCATGCTTAGGTAAGATAGATCTTCATTAGCCTTACCAAGATTACCTTCACTGTTTTCAAAATCAATAGGGTTTACTTTATGAGGCATTGTTGACGAGCCAATCTCACCAGCCTTAGTTATCTGCTCCAAATTTTTATCACAAAAAGATATTAGGTTGGCATAATAATGATACTTATAAATTTAAGTCAACATCCTGAATCAAAACACTCACCTGCTTAAAGTATCCTAAAGATATGTAGCCCCACATATCTCTGTCAAAGTCAATCAATATATTGTTAAAACGGATAATTGCATAATAAAGTTTTGCCATGTAATCGTGCGTCTCAATCTGCAAACAGCAAAACCAGATATATTCAATCAGAAGAATACATCAACACTTTGACAAGATTGCATAATTACCAGTTCTATTCCAGGTGAAGCACATAAACTCATTACTGATCATATCCACGTGAGGCTAACTAGAAGTGTTATTCCTTCAGGCTTCAGTTGACATATATACTTTTACTATATAAGATTAAGGAGTGCAGGAAACATACCTGAGTAACATAGGGGTTAAACTTTAATCCAAGAGAAGTCACAAATTCTTCTGCAATTTGAGGCCAGTTAATATTAGGATATGCAACAAGATGGGCATTGTAATTTCCAACTGCACCAGCAAACTTGCCCATCATCTCAACTTGAGAAATTTCTCGCCTTTCTCTGCTTAGCCTGACGGTAAAAATGGCCATCTCCTTTCCTAACGTTGTAGGTGAAGCTGGCTGAAAGAAACCAAAGATTTAAGTGATCAAGTAATAACAGCATTTTCTTGAGTAATTAATAGTAATAAATCACATGCAATTAAAGAAAATTTAAGCAATCATGGGATTAAACATGGTCTTTCTTTCTCTTCTCTCAAAAAAAAAAGAAAAAGTGTGATTAATTTGAGAGTTCAAAGACTGATGTATGAATCAAAAAATCATTCGATGAGTACCTTATGACACATTAACAGTGAGATGATTAATTCTAAGCATGAAATCACTCTTCTACCTGGCCATGTGTGCGAGAAAGCATAGAAATGCTTGCATTAGCCTTAGCCATCTTACATATTGCCTCAATCAATTTCTCCATAGTTGGAAACATGACTTTGGTCATTGCTTCTTTCAGCATCAATGCATGGGCAAGGTTGTTTATGTCCTCGGATGTGCAAGCAAAATGGAAAAATTCAAGCACCTGAAACCAGAGAGAAAATGTAATTTAATCGTAAAATTCCCAAAGAATTTAAGTCAAACAGAAAGGATAGTGTGGCAATAACCTTAGCAATCTCGGGATGTGATTGGCATTTCTGTTTCAGGAAGTATTCCACTGCTTTTACATCATGGTTAGTTACTCTCTCTATTCTTTTAACTTCCAAAGCATCATCCATACTAAATCCATCAATCAATCCTTGCAAATAAGACTGAGCTTCTACACTGAAGCTTGGAACCTCAGTGACTTCAGGAATTTGTGAAAGCTTCAGCAACCATTTAATCTGACAGAGTATTTATATTTAAAAAGGGTCCTTCAAGAAAGCACATAAAAAGAAAGAAAATGAAGTTCATTGACTTATATGACGAAACTATACATAGATTTTAACTTTATTGGGTTTGGAAATCAGTCAATGAACTCTATACATCAACCACAAGTGTGCTCATATAGTTTACATTTCACCGACTTATCTCTAAAGTTGGAAACCTTCAGTCAAGTGTTACAGAATTTGTCTTGCCCTTAGATTCACAGCACCCACAGTTTCCAATATTTCCAATAAGATTATGCTGGTCAGCTTGACATTTATCACAGTTGAAGTTCAATCAAATCAAGCCATAATTCAACTATGCTAAGCTGAATTTCTAAATCAATTCAATTTCTAAGATGTACATGAATTAGGTTTGCTCCAACAATGATCAAGTTGTCAAAAACAATTCATTTCAACAATGTGCAAAAAACAAGAGACTGAAACAAAGCAAGTAGGCATATAGAACCAACAATTCAAAACGAAATTACATTACAAAATGAATATATCAAGAGGATGCTGATTAGAAGATTACCTCAACAAGAACTCTAAAGTAAATAAGCCCATATTCACTCATATAGAGGGACAAGTCCTTCACTTTGCCCCAATAACGACCGTCCAAAGGTGACAATGCTGTTAAAGTCGACAATTCGAACTCACAAGAATTATCTCTAGACATGTTAATCACCTACAAAAAAAAAACTAATTTTTCACCCCAAAAGCCACTTGCAATCCTCTAGACAATCATACATGACAATTTAAAACCCAAAAAGAAATGTAGGTACTTGTTAAAACTAGCATTTACCACCTTAAAATCAAATTTAACAAATACCCAGATTAAAAAAAATCAACTATTTTTCCAAAACCCAAACAGAAACTGAGTTCCATCATTAAAAAATAAATCTCGAAAAAGCTAGAGCCAGGAGGATTAAGTGAAACCTGTCTGAAGCCATGGCTTCTGCTTGAAAAAGCTATGGAAAGCTGAAAGGGAGCATTAGAGAATTGATGGGTATGTTTAGTAGTGTACAAACTAGAGATGTTTCTTAGAGATCGGAGTTTTCTTGGTTGTAAAGGGCTTAAAAGGGAGGCTTGATTTTTAGTTAAAACCCCAGAAGAAACCATGGACTCCATAGAAAAGGAGTAGAGCTTTGAACTGCGATGATAACTGATAAGAGAGGATGAAGTCAGGGCAGGGCAGGGCAGAAATGGAGAGTGTCCAAGGCGGTATTTTTTTACAGGTTTTAAGGTATAAAGCCTAATCTTCAAAGCCCAATCAAATTGGGTTCTTTTTGGGTTCAAATTATTTTCAGCCTAATTTAAGGTCCAGCCCAAAGTGTACAAAGCCCAAATTTTAAAGCCTTTTGGTTTTATTTTTGCTGATGATTGACTTGAAAGATCATGACGGAATAAAATCCAAACCATCCATTAAGGTTTAATATCAGCTATAATCCAACTTATTTTTTACATAATGTGGTATCTAAATATCATAAATTAACATTAAATAGTTAGAATGTTATTGTCTAATAGTCAAATAAATTTTTTTAAAATTTTTAATCTATTTTAATCATTCAATTTGTATCATTTAATTTATTTAAAAAATACGATAAATATTTAATTTTTTTCGAATTCATTAATCATTAACTTTTATTTACTTAATTTATAAAACAATTACATTACTCGTCTAAATCATTTCAAATCTACAACTTTAAAAAAATTTAACTAACAAGTATTCCATCTAAAATTAGTACTTAGTTGGCTGCAATAACTCAAAGTTAATATATATATATATATATATATATATATATATTTGTTGGCTGTAAGATATGCAGAAAAACAAAGGAAGGCCCCCTTCCAAGGCATAGCCTTCACTATCACATCTCTTCAAAATATTGGACCATAGCCACACATTAATGAGAGATGCTCAGTTAAGCTCATACCCTTTCCTTTCCTCTTCCCCTATTTCCCCACTTGATTTTAAGCCTATCCTCTCACCATCTGCCTCTTGTCACAACACTGTTAACTGCTTATCTACTGTCCTCCTCCCTTGCTACATGAAAGAGATTTTTGAAGATTGATATCAGGCCTTCTTGCAGGATTTATAATTCCTTGTCCTTCGAAGTTGAAACTTTTTTTGCCAACAATGGAGACTGGTGTCACGTGCTATGCGCGTGGGATTGTTCTTCCTAGTGTCTCCTCTAAGCATTCCACTGCATTAGTCTCCCCACCATCAACATCTCCTTCCTTCAGCTCAAGGGTATGATTATATATTTCAGTTAATACCATGCATGCTTGGCTTGCATTAATTCATGTCAAGCTTCCTTTTCTTATATTCATGGTCTGATAAATAACTTAGGTTACGTGAATCATTTTGCCATGAGTATATATTTCTATAAAGGATTATTGTACTGAATATTTGTATGGCAGAGCCTTAAATCAAGCTCGATTTTTGGGGAATCACTGAGGGTTGTGCCAAGATCATCATTGAAAGTCTCAAAGACAGAGAACTGTTCCCTTGTGACAAGATGTGAGATTGGAGACAGTCTGGTAAGTTGACATAGGCAAAACTTTGATAGTTTTGCTTTGGCTACTTGAATCAAGGAATGAGTTGAATATAAAAAGTTAATTTTGAATGGTTTTATGTGGTTTTAGGAGGAGTTCCTTACAAAGGCAACCCCAGACAAGAGACTGATTACATTGATGATGTGCATGGGAGAAGCATTGAGGACAATCGCTTTCAAGGTCAGGACAGCTTCATGTGGAGGTACAGCTTGTGTCAATTCCTTTGGAGATGAGCAGCTTGCTGTGGATTTGCTTGCCAACAAGCTTCTTTTTGAGGTTAGAATTACCATTAAAAGAGGCTCCTATAAGCTATTCGGGTGACATTTGGACGAAGAATATTAAAAATGTTCTCTAACTTGACTTCTGCATAGCCTTTTTTGACATATCAGTTATTAATCCTGGTGAAAAATAACTATAAGAGAGGTAAATCATATATATTGTTGGGCAAATAAAACACTCTATTTGGTCATTTTTAAAAGATTTCTTACAGGTTCCATGATCATATTTTAAGAGTTTTTATCTGTCTTATTCAGATTATCGGAAAAGCATTGAATTTCCAATATTTTATTCTTAGATTGAGTTCTAAAAGGAATGCCCTTTTCTGCCACCTAATTTTTTCTTTATTTTTTCAATTGTTAAGTTATTTTCATCAAGGAACAATAATTTCTACAACCATTCATGTCCATATCTTCTAGCAATTTGACTATGAATTATGAAATTAATGATTTTTTGGTTATGATCCACGTACAGGCCTTGACTTACTCACACTTCTGTAAATATGCATGCTCAGAAGAAATTCCTGAGCTTCAAGACATGGGAGGCCCTGCTGAAGGTAGGCTTTTTTTTCCTCTGTTAAAAATTTTGACCCAAATTTCAAAACTTGTAGACTCAATGATCAAGTAAAACTGAATGGCTGGTCATATATGAACAGGTGGATTCAGTGTTGCTTTTGATCCCCTTGACGGCTCTAGTATTGTCGACACAAATTTCACCGTAGGCACCATCTTTGGAGTGTGGCCTGGTGATAAGTTAACTGGAGTAACAGGAAGAGATCAAGTTGCTGCAGCAATGGGAATTTTCGGTCCTCGAACTACATATGTCCTTGCACTTAAGGACATTCCTGGCACCCATGAATTCCTCCTCCTTGATGAAGGTACGTGCAAGTTGCAACAACATTTAGTATCAAATTTGCAATCAGAAAATGACCATCCTATTTAGTTGGACAAGTCTCAGTTCAGAAGCAGTACCTAACTTTTTGAAGATTATTACTACACAAATGTAGGCAAGGATTAAGGAAAAAGTATCGAGTACCTAAGTCCTCTTTTTCACTCTAAAATGATGTTTCCCTGCTGCATTTATCAGGAAAATGGCAACATGTCAAGGACACCACAGAAATTGGTGAGGGAAAAATGTTTTCCCCTGGAAATTTGAGAGCCACATTTGACAACCCTGAATATGATAAGGTTCAAGTCAACTAAATTTAACTTTTCCTAATTCTTTTAATGAGGGAATATTATTGCTTTAACTCTTATTGTCTTTTATATTTTAAAAAACAGTTGATCAACTACTATGTGAGAGAGAAATACACATTGAGGTACACTGGTGGAATGGTACCTGATGTCAACCAGGTATGCCCATCTTCTTCCATACCTTGGTTTTCCCTATAGTTCACATTGTTGTCAATTTTAAATGATTTACTATTTGTTTTATCTAAAGATCATTGTAAAAGAGAAAGGTATCTTCACAAATGTGGCATCACCATCTGCCAAAGCCAAGCTGAGGCTGTTATTTGAGGTAGCTCCATTAGGATTCTTGATTGAGAAAGCCGGTGGTTACAGTAGTGATGGTCATCGGTCAGTTCTAGACAAAGTGATCAATAACCTTGATGATAGAACTCAAGTTGCATATGGTTCCAAGAATGAGATTATCCGCTTCGAAGAAACTCTATACGGATCCTCAAGGCTCAAACCAGGGATACCTGTTGGAGCTGCTGCCTAAGCAACAATGTTTTTTTATTTCCTTTCAGCCTTTTCTTTTCTTTTTGTCTCAACTCTCAAAACTTAAGCTATTCCATATAGAAGTTGTAAAATAGTGGATGAAATGTTCCAATTATGATGAGACTTAAGAGTTATAAAAAGGCTGAGCTCCTTTCAGCATATTTTTTCCCTGAAAAGTATTTGCTTCTTGACCTTTAATGGGACTTGAAGCAAAGCTGCAGAAGTGCGCATAAAATTATTCCAGGGCCAATGAACCTCATTCTTCTATGAATATGATTACAAGTTATATTCATCAAGCTTAGAATTTTCGGGTTTGATCGCTCAGCAGGTTAAGAAAAACAATTCCAACAATTTTCTTTTCACAATTCCAATCATTTTTAAGTTGGAATAAGAAGAACAACTTTGATGCTATAAGAAGCAACATCTTCCTATAATAGGAAGCAATTTGGATATCCATATCCTTAATTAGAAGAATTGTAAAATATAAGACACCCCCTAATCATTTCTAATAATCAATTAATCATGTTGTATTCTTTAGATATCATTTTATAACCTCTGCTTATAGAGTAATTATCGGATTGATCTATCCGAATGATACAACTAAATCCAAAAAGTGAATATAGTCACTAACATGGATGATAGTATGTCCTTCAACACTTTCAAAATACATATCAATGATCTGTTGGACCTTCCTAAAAACCAAGGTTGTTTAACTGTTGAAAGGAATTATAAGGAACAAAGAACACCTAGAATTATGATTAAAATATAGTGAATACTTAAGAAGTTAAGCCTAGGATTTAACCCCCTTGCGTGCTGTCATCGGCATATCCAAAGAATAATGCCAAAGCCTAACACTTTTTTCTAAGATTCATTCAGAAGAAACTATGGACTGCTATGAGCATTAGAGCTGCAGATTGTTACATTACAACATTTATGTCAATACCAAGAATAAATCATAAATCTTAGCCTTATTTTGCTAGCAGGGAACCTTCTGCTTTCAATCGAACTACCAATCACCAAACATAACCGAAAAATAAAAATATGGTACATATTTGGCAGATTACATTCACTTATCCTTGCAATTTTAGGTGTTTTCCCCCCTTTGATTTGTATCATTGTATGAAATACTAGTCTCATATTGTTTATTGAAGATTCTAGGTTCATGCTGCATGTCAAAATTTGTGGTCTGCATCAACCTTATTAGTTATAGAACTTAAATTCCAACTAATAATTGGGAGATATTGAATGTATTGCCTTTTTTTAAGTTTCAATTTTCTTTGCAGGCAATTGAAACAGGACAGAGGAAATGGCATGGATCAGTCAGTGGAATAGTCGAGTCACCCCTTGACAAAGTCTGGACCATTGTTTCTCAAACAAAAAGATTATCTGAATGGATGCCAATGGTTGAGAGATGCACTGACTTAGCAGGAAATGAAGGTATACCTATACAAGACTAGTCTCCGGCTTCATGTTCCCTCAACAAGATGGAGAAAGGTCATGGATCAAAGAGAAGCTGGTTGCAATGGACACAACATCACACAGTTATGTTTACAAAATGGAAGCAAGCAATATGGGTTTAGATGGATCCATAAACTCCTTAAAGCTTATAGATTATGGAGATGACTCAACGCTTGTTAACTGGTCATTTGAGATAGATCCCTTGGAAGGTGCATTGGAGGACAGCATCATTGATTATCTAGGATTTCTCTATAAATCTTGCATTAGCAGGATCCAGGGTGCCATTGAGGCTGAATCCAAGAAAGTTCCAGTAACTTGTTGATTAATGTCAGTATCATTACCTTCTTCAAGAAATTTTTGGGGGCAAAATTAACTTCCATATTGTACTGTATTATCTTGAAAATACCATTTTACAATACTATAACACCCCAAATCTCATATAATACTTCATAAGTCACGTGCCGGTGTTAACAGCTACAAACTTGACGCTAAATTGTCTGTGTTCCTAGGAGAACAGAACAGGTACCTTAATTGATTTTATGTTTTTTGGTCAGACTTGTAGGTAACATTCGTTTGGAGACAACTCAAACACGCCTCCTCACATCCAATCTTGGGACTTTTACAGGTTTCGGGGATTGATCTATTAGGTCAAACAAAATGCTCAAACATTAAAATTCAATCAAACACGTTTAAATTAATAAAGTGAAAGCTCTGCACCAACTTATCAAATTCAATTTCCTTCTCTTCGGAATGATATTTTTTATAGCATTTTGAGCCATGCAATATTGATCACATCCCCATCTTTCACTGGAACTTTACGGTCACTCCGTAAGTATCCAGATTGAGCTATGTGCCTACAATCAGCTGACATATTTTATATTTCTGAAGTTAAATATTGAGCTTGGTGAGATTGATCTGCTGTGGAAATATGTACTCTTATAAACTAACTTCTGCAACAATCCTGTTTTTAATCTGAAATGGTAGTTCATAAGTGTCAATTTGTTAGGATGTCAAATGCAAAAATTCTTTCTGAAGAATTGAAAAATGGAAAGAAAATGCATTACTCATCTGCACAGAAATGGAAATACGACTCATTTATTAAGCTTGTTGAGTTCTTGGGTCAAGATGGTGTATTTTATCCTTAAAGGCTGCTACCAGCAATCCTCAAAAAGTCACCTTCCTAGCAAATTTTTTTTAATAATACTTTTTTTAACCTAATTTCCTCTCCAAACAATCTTAAAGTTGCATAGTTGCACTTCTCTACTTCGGCTTAATGCATTCAAAGTTTTAATCTCGAAGTGCTTCTTACGAAAATCGAACTTTAATTGACAAAGAAAAGAAACTTCTCTCTTTACCAACTGGACTAATTTTCGCTAGTTCTTCCTAGCAAAATGATCCTACTAATTAATCAACTATTAGTTTGGTTGTCTTTGAGGCTAAGGATCCCAACCAAAAAAAAAAAAATCACCACCTTTAAAACAAGTAGAATGGTAATTAGTTAGTAAGAAATGTGGGGTTTGAAAAAAAAAAAAAAGGTGAAAAAGATGTGAGATTTGAGATCAATTTCTAGGCAAGTTGAGTGTTACTGCAAAGAGCAGAAACACCCATCTAATTAAATTCCTCAAAGCTTCTGGACAGCTGACAAGGCCATTGATCCATCATCTTTGAAAACTATTTCTCAACTATAAAGTTATCCCTTATTCCTCCACATCAATACATTTATACATTGACCATTACCCACCACCATAGCTCCCATATATTCTATATTTCATGTATTTATACTCTTCTGGAAGGTTGGCTGCTGTTATAATTAAAATCTAGAATCATAAATTCAGAAGCTTTAGCTATACCAAATCTAGAATCATATTTCAGCCAGGAAAACAGCTATCAATGCCATGCAATTAAAATCAAAGTTTAAAACTACCATTTAAGTGCTTTAACCCAAAAAGTAAACTTCTTAAGTGATATAGATACATCCTAGCTCCCTCTAATTAATACACATTTTATGTAAATTTTGAGAATATATTTAAAATCAATTGTAATGATCTCTTATTATTATATTATTGATTTAAAAAATATATTTAAAATTGTTAAAGTATAAAAAAAATTTTAACTAAAATTAAATAATCATCCAAATTTCTATGGTTTTGTTGCAATTAATAGAGCTTCAAACATCTGTTTCATTCGATTAAACCCATATTGACAATTGATTATTAAATTTCTATTCAAATGAAAGTCTAATTGGATGAAAATAGATATTTGAAGGATCAATTAAAAGAAAATAAATATTCAAAACTCGATTAATTGCAATAAAACAATAAGATTTGAATAATTATTTAGTTTTACTTTAAGAAAGTTTTTATATTTAAACCATTTAAATCAAATGTAATAATTAAGTTGTCATCTCTATATTTCTCATTCTTGTGTTGCATGAATTGATCTACAACAATGTATTCAAAAGGATTTTATGTATTGTTTCATAACAACTTAGAAGAATTTAACCGTTCATAGGATATAGGATTTTACTATATTTTATGTATTGCTTTTCTCTCGTGAATGTACATCATCATTATAAAAACCATGGATTTCATAGTATTCTTGTGTTCTTATCTTCTCTATTACTCATTTTTCATCGACTAAATGGAAACTAAAGTTGCAGAAACATGTATATGTTCTAACATATATGCTTTTTCATATGTTATATGCTTAAAAAGTTGGGGCCTTTGCCATTAAAAAATAGAATGGTATTAAACTATATGCATTTTCATAATAATACGAAAACAACTAGAGAAAGACATGTACAAATGGAAACTAAGTGCCCAAAACTACATGAAATTAAAATATTTGTAATGAAGAAGGAAGCCTTTGAAAACAGGATATATATAAATGTTGTAGAGATAGAGAAACAAATGCAGATGGGAAGTAAGTTTCAAACTCAAATGAAGTATCAGTCAGTTGAAAATGGCAACTCCAAAACCGTACCATGACTTTGCTACTTTATGTAACATCCAAGGAAACTTTGAGAAGCAAATACCTGTCTATATGCATCTCTTCATTCACCTAACCAGGTAAAATGACATTACATCAAAGATTTTATTCCTTTATATATGAAGTTATAAAGGTAGTGTGTCAGACATTGGTTTCTTCTAAAGATAGCTGGAAATAAATCAATCTTGGAAGAGACCGAGTTGGAGATAAAGGGAGAGTGAGAGTCTGAAAGAGCAAGGATGGTCATGTACTGGGTTCAAGCATTGCTGTTTATGACTGTTCTATTTCCGGCATTGGTAGACTGTAAGATTCGGCATTACAGTTTCACTGTAAGTACTTTTATAGGTGTCTGTTGCAGTTCTTCATTGTAGTTTACGTCTATTCTATTTTCGGACATGTCATATGTTTTGTTGGTAGAATGCTGAAATTTTAATTTAAACGACTAGGATTCAATCTCCGGCAAACTCAAGTACCTAGAGGTGGGAATATTGTTTTGTTTCATTGAGAAAGCCATAAGAACAGTGATAATTTCAGATTAATCATTGACTATCGGAAGTAAAATCCTTGATACTTTTAAAAAATTAATGCCTTTTACTTTTAACCATTTGGGTTTAAAAGGGTCAAAAAGTTGCTACTTCAATGGAAAACCTGACAGAATCAGGAGGAAACATTATCATATTTCCCAATGAAGCCAAGCTACATATTCTCATTTGACTTTTGTTCTCATCTTCCATATACCTACCTCATTTGAACACTTAATTTTCTTACCCAATGCCAAGAAAATGGCTGAGCATCTGTAAAAGTTGTCAGCAAATAGGATACTATTATTTTTACACATTGTTTTTTGAAAGAAATGTACAGGCCAGAAATAACTGTAAAAAGAAAAGAATTAAAAACAGTAGAACAGAGAAATTTATCTTAATTTTCTGATCAGGTGGTCTTGAAAAACACAACAAGGCTTTGTGCCACCAAGCCTATTGTGACTGTCAATGGGAAGTTTCCAGGGCCAACTCTTTATGCAAGAGAAGACGATAACGTACTCGTAAGGGTCACCAATCATGTTCAATACAATGTTACAATCCACTGGTAAGCAAGTTTATCAGAAAGATCTCCTAGAACTCAATAACTGATTTACTAAAATCTACAAATTGCAGCCTGATGACTTTTTTTTTCTTGCTATATTTGCAGGCATGGGGTCAGACAATTTCGAACAGGTTGGTCTGATGGACCAGCATATATCACACAGTGCCCAATTCAGCCTGGTCAGAACTTCCTTTACAACTTCACCCTCACAGGTCAAAGAGGGACACTCCTTTGGCATGCACATATTTCCTGGCTGAGGTCAACCATGCATGGTGCCATTGTTATCTTGCCCAAGAAAAGTGTCCCTTATCCATTTCCCAAGCCTGATAAGGAAAAAGTAATCATATTAGGTGAGCTGCGGTTAACTTTGGGCTTGTTTTTGCCTGCATCAAATAATATAATGAAACCAATATGTTAATAAAGTGGATTATGTTCTTTGAATTTTAGGGGAATGGTGGAAGGCAGATACTGAAGCTGTGGTCAATCAGGCAATGCAAACTGGTTTGCCTCCAAATATATCAGATGCACACACAATTAATGGCCATGCAGGGCCAGTTCCTAACTGTTCTTCTGAAGGTACTAGCATGGGCTATATATAACCTTATGCTTTGTTTGATCACAATCATAACATTTGTATTTTCTTTCCATTGTAAGGGCGGAAAAGCGCATGGAAAATCACTTTTTTAGGGAAAAAAAAAAGAAGCTTAGACTAGTAAGTAAGTGTGTAGCTGATCATGCCTCAGTTCAGTTAACAAAGTTCTGTCATTCTGTGAATGCAGGTGCATATACTTTGCATGTCCAAAATGGAAGGACCTATTTGCTACGGGTTGTCAATGCAGCTGTGAATGATGAGCTCTTCTTCAAAATTGCCGGCCATAATCTGACTGTTGTGGAAGTTGATGCAGCTTACACTAAACCTTTTAAAACTGACACATTATTTCTTGGTCCAGGACAAACAACAACTGCTCTTCTTACAGCAGATCAGGGCATTGGGAAGTATTTAATAGCCATATCTCCATTCATGGACACCATTGTTGCCGTTGACAATTTGACCGGAATGGGATTCTTACGCTACAACCACACCCTTGCCTTTACTCCAACTACCTTGACCAGCATTCCTCCTGTAAATGCAACAGCCGTAACATCAGTTTTTTCTGAAGCTCTTCGAAGCCTTAATTCGAAAGAATATCCAGCCAATGTCCCTTTAACCGTTGATCACTCACTATTTTTCACCATTGGGGTTGGGATCAACCCTTGTGCTACGTGCTTTAATGGTAGCAGGGGTGTAGCAGCTATAAACAATGTCTCTTTTGTCATGCCAACTACAGCTCTGCTTCAAGCACATTACTATAGCATAAAAGGGGTTTTCACAGATGATTTTCCAGGACAGCCACTAATACCTTTCAATTATACCGGAACTCCACCATCCAATCTACAAACAATGAATGGCACCAGAGTATACAGACTGGCCTATAATTCAACAGTTCAATTAGTAATTCAAGGAAACTCTATAATAGCACCTGAGAGTCATCCAACCCATCTGCATGGATTCAACTTCTTTGTAATTGGAAGAGGGGTGGGAAATTTTGATCCGAACAAGGATCCACTGAAATTCAATCTAGTTGATCCTGTCGAGAGGAACACGATAAGTGTACCAACTGCTGGATGGACTGCAATCAGATTCAGAGCAGATAACCCGGGTACGTTGAATTAGTTTGGAACTTAATGCTTTGTTGCTATCAATCTTATTCCTGATAACGAGCTTGCAACTTCTATCTGTCTTTTATAGAGAAATTTAACACTTTTTTTTCTATTTTCTTCGAAATGAAACTGCTACTATTTTACTTCCATATCAAGCAAGCTCTTCATGAACTGTCTATTCAGCTTGCTTTCACTACCAGCAACCAAAATTTCTTACAATAGACAATGTTCTAATATTATAAACTTGTTTTTTAGGGGTCTGGTTTTTCCATTGCCATTTAGAAGTTCATACAACATGGGGACTTAAGATGGCATTCCTGGTAGACAATGGTAAAGGCCCGAACGAGTCAATTCTACCGCCTCCGATTGACCTTCCACAATGCTAGACAAACTTTCCTGACAGCTTTGAGAATCAAAGCTTAAGAGTAGACACGAGAATGAAAGAGGCCAGAAGAATGTGAAAATTTGTGACTGAAAAACAATGAGAAAAAAAAGATTTGATAAAGCTAATAAACAGCAGATGATCAAAGGATTGTTGTTTTTTTTTCTCCATGTAATAATTTTAAATCCATGTAATAATCTCTATTGTCTTTGGTGGTGCAGAGGGATCATATACTTTGAGTGTACGTTAGTAAAAGATGTAATTATCAGAGTTCCAATCATATTTTATGATGAAATTAAAGCTTGGAAAGCTCTTCATTTCTCAATCTTTTTCAGTCATAAAATTTATATATTGACAGGAAAAAAATGCGCGCCAGGTAGGGGTCGAACCTACGACTTTCTGCTTAGGAAACAGACGCTCTATCCACTGAGCTACGAGCGCTATGTTTGGAACCAATGCCTGTAATACATAAGGAAGTTACTTATTGATGAATTTTTTTTTGGCAGTTTTTCAATTAAAATTTGCATGAAATTACGAAGAATAAGATATTTTTATCTCTATGTTAAAAGTTATGAAAGCTTATGTTGATTTTGATATGATGACTTTTTGGACTTATTAGTAGTATTAATTTTGTATTTCTTCATTTGATTAAGTTTTATATTAATGGTTAATTTATCATAACTCTTTTTTTGTAATCCAGATTTGAAATCAGCAGAGCAACAGCACACCGACAAAATTAAAAGTTTACAAAAGGACAAATTAGATGATGATAAATGAAAAATAGCTCTCATTTGTCATGATTTTTTACTTATTTTTTTCTATCTCCTTTTCCAGATTATCATTACAACTTTGTACAAAATTTTAGCTGATAATTTTAATGGAACAAAAAAATAAAAAGTAAAATCAATAAAAATAGTATATAAATTTGATAAAAATTTAAAAAATATTTTTATGGTTGATCAAGTTTCACTGCATCAAACCTTTGAACCCAAAAATAAAATTAAATAAAATTCAAAAAAACTATTACTCCATAGAAAAAACCATAGGTTTAGAAAAGTTAAAAAATAAGGAAAATTTGCACTTGAATCCAATCCTAGCAAGCCATCTTTCTTAGCTTCGTTTTCTCTGTACCAACTCTTGTCTCATTGAATTCATCTACATTCCCAAACAATTAAAGCTTAAAGCCAATTCTCTTCTACATTTCCCTTTGATCAAATTCATTTTTGTCTGTTTCATTTTTCAAAGCAAAGCAAACAAAGAAAACCAGTTTTTTTCCCACTATTTTCTCTCAGTTTAATTATCCAAATAATAATCTTTTCATGTTTTTTTTACTTAATTGGGTCTGGTCTCTGTCCACTATATTTCATCATCTTGCTCTTTATTGCCTTGTTTTTAGGATAAACTCTTAAGTTCCAAGCTTGGGTTGTTTACAATTCTTAAAGAGTTCAGCTTGTTTAATTGTCATATATAAATAAAGCAAAGATAAAAAGGAAACCCAGATTTTCCTAGATTCTCTTGATACTTAAAAAGATTGTCTTTTTAGATTCTTCAATAATGCTGTTGAAAAAAGAAGATTGACTCTTGATTCCCAAGTAATTGCTTCCCATATTAATGCTCTCACAAGCATCTAAATCTCTTTACTTTCTGGCTTCATTTAGTACCCTCTCCTCCTTGGCTTCATACTTCTTTCAATTACCAAAAACTTTTTTTTTCAAGGTAAAAAATTGCTTTCTCTTTGTTTTCAGAATTTGTCTGGAAACTTTGTTTGCAACTTCTATTATGTCAAATTCGGATTGGTTTGATCAAGAAAGCAACAGCAACAACAACACATATTGGACTAAAGAAGAAAACAAAAGATTTGAGAGTGCTTTAGCAATATATGGTGAAGATATTCCTGATAGATGGAAAAGGATAGCTGCAATGATACCAGGAAAAACTGTTGCGGATGTGATTAAACAGTATAGGGAATTGGAAGAAGATGTTTTCGATATAGAAGCAGGCCGAGTTCCAATACCTGGTTATCTTAGCTCATCTTTTACATTAGAATTGGTTGATAATCGTGATTTTGATACGTATAGGAAGAGGTCCACTGGGGCTAGAGGTCCTGATCAGGAGAGGAAGAAAGGAGTGCCATGGACAGAAGAAGAACACAGGTAATTTTCCTTCAAAAACCTTATTTTTTGTTGGTGATGATTTTAAAAACTTTGATGAAAGTTTTAGAGCTTTTGATTTGTGGTAAAAGTATGAATGGAAGTATAATTTTTGCTTTGATCTTTTCCTTTCATCAGGTTTTTTTATCCTGCAAGTAAGTTTTACCTGTGCATTGCATTGTCAATTTTTTATAAAATTCATATTAACTGGGTAGTAAATTTCAATGTTTTGGTTTTCCATATCAAAATTCATTCAATTCTTAGTAGTTCAATTGATAATTCAATATAACTTTGTAGTTAATATTTTTCTTTATTGTCTAACCTAAAACTTGGGTGTTTTCCGTTCTAGTTCTAACCATGGTTTTTTTTATCATGACAGCTAGGCGGTTCAATATAACTTTGTAGTTATATTTTTCTTTATTGTCTAACCTGAAACTTAGGTGTTTTCTGTTCTGGTTCTAACCATGGTTATTTTGATCATGGCATATAGGCGGTTTCTGATGGGACTTCTAAAGTATGGTAAAGGGGACTGGAGAAATATCTCCAGAAATTTTGTGGTTTCTAAGACTCCAACTCAAGTTGCAAGCCATGCTCAAAAATACTATCAGAGGCAGCTTTCAGGAGGGAAAGATAAGAAGCGACCAAGCATCCATGACATCACAACTGTCAATCTCACCAATACATCTTTTTCAGGCAACCATAAGCCGCCTTTAGTAAATCAGTCTAATTTGCTTGCATTGCAGCAAAAGCTGGCCAGCATGCAAAAAGTGGGCCATAATTGGAATCACCCCTTTGACTAATCAGCTACGGCCTTCAATTCAACTCACGGGAACTGGTTTACATCTTCTCAATACCAGACCGCTTCAAGTGGCCTAAGACTTCAGGGGCAAAATCTATATGGTAGTGCTTATCATGGAGCTCATATCAAACCCCAAAGCTTATTGTTCTAAACCCTTACACAGGATATGAAATGCATGGATATATAAGGCAATTGTTTTCTCTTTTCTGTTGTACTCAGCGTTTCAATTTCAAATCTAATAATGTTGAGAAGGGTTTTGCAAACTGCTCTTTTTTATCATCTCCTGTGACAGATAAAATGGTTTTGCTTATTACACAATGGTGGAATCATGTATGGCTTAAACACCAGTGTCAAAACTGTAAAGGGCTGTTGGGAGTGTGAATGAAACAAAAATCATCTCAGGCCCTTATTATTTTAGCATTTATTTGCCAGACAAACATTTGTCCAAGTGCTGGATTCTCCATTAGCTTTATTTTCCATCCTGATGCAGGCTAAAAGCCTTGTTGGATGATTATGACACTTTGTCCATAGCTGAACTGGACCTTGTGAGACCAAGAATCAAAAGACAATGGCATTACCGGGTCTGTACGAGGCAAAATCAATGATTTGTTACTGAGATATTAAAATTTGCTGCATTTGTCTAGGATTGATCCGAAGAAACCTTGTGCTACTTTTTACACCTATAATAGTTTTCCTAATGGTTTCGAACACGCTGCCATGTCATTCAGTGATGTGGCCTAATTGGCTGACTCACTTGGCACTCTTTTGAAAATTCCCCAGTGTCTGATTGCTTACTTTCTGTTAGGACGCTTTCCGCCATTTTCACCTTTACGAATCCAATAAGGCCAAGTTGACCAAGCTTGATTGCCACCACTTAGTCGAAGCTGAGTATGCATTCCACTTAATTGAGCATCACATGCTTCAATCTGCCATAGAATATAGAAAGGCGCGATGTGGTTTACATTTTCCTTTTTTTTTTTTTTTGCTGATCATCTTTATTTTAGTCCAATCCAATTTTGCCTTTCTTCTTTGATGTTTCTCTTTCTGCCGACCCCTTTGTCAATGGTGGCAAGACTGATTCATCAGCATAATAGCTTCTTTTACCGGTCTCTGGAGGAATCATGCCTTTTTGTGGTTCATATGTTTACTTGAGAACCAAAAAAAGAATCTAACTGTGCTTGTATTTTGGCTTGTTGTAACCATGTTTGAAAGGAAAAGAAAATCTAGCTTTGAAATTAAGGCAGAATCAACCAACAGTTGCGTAATTTGTTGATAAAATGTTAGACTTTTAATTTTAATAATCAGATTCAAATCCTGATAGTCCCAAATAAAAAAAAAATTAGGCTGAATCAAATGTTGACCTATACCTTCACCTTGAGAGAATATGTTTCTTCTCTTTTTTTTTTTCTTATGGGTACAGGAAAGAATATGATTTTACTTTTTTTTTTTCTTATTGGTTGGAGCTCTGCTCATTTACTACTTTACGTGTTTAAGTTTATGCCATATGACCCTGGAAATGAAGCAACTGTAACTTTCAACCCTTTGGCAGTATCCTGCTTACAATCCATTCCTAGAAAAACAGCAGTTAATCTTCTGATAAGAATCTGACAAAATATTATGGTTCATCAGATCATGAAAATCTGAGAATACAGTCCATAAATCATGTTTTGAAAAAGGGTTGTTAAAAATATCATCTCTTTGCCAATATAGATTGATACAAACCAAGAATAGGAACAGCTACTCCCTTAACAGTGCAAAACATGCTCCAAGACAAAGAAAGAATAGTATGGAAAATATGAAAAAAAGAATCACCTTTATTAAATACTCTTGTTGGGCAAATGGGTTAACATACCAAATATGTGCATCTTTGTGTTATGTTATTTGGACTCTGGTTAATATTAGATATAAGTATGTTTTCGACACGAGTATGCTCAATTTTTCTAAGTTTTTCTATATATTTGAAGAGTAAGAGTTTCATAACCACTTACATTATATATGTATCTAATACGAATATTTTAAAAAGATAAAAATAAAAAGAATATAGCATCTTTGGATTTGATTCTTAATTTACCCTGAGAGCCTAAACTCAATCGATATCCATATCTTCCTGATTCCAAGATTTACTAGAACTCCTGTCAACAGTATAAAAAAATGCTGGGAATTCTACTCTTTAGATGCTTTAGTGGGATCTTAATGAAATGAAATGGTTGATGATGATGATCACTCTATCTTCATCGGTAGGCAAATAGGCATTCCACATATGAAAAAAAATTGTCACTGCATTTGTTTTCTTTTCAATTACAACTGTGGGATCTACCCCGCACCATTGCTACCCTTATTGCTGCTGGCCTACTGCCCTACCCATGTCACTTTTGCATGTATATCTATCATTTTCTAAGCCACACAAATTTAAGGTTCCAAAAGCTACACTACAATGCAAACATGATCAACATGATTGTTTTTTCCAACTTTTTTTTTCTCAGAAATGGACAAAAACTAACTACTTTATATTATATTTTTCTAAGAGGGGCAACTTGATATATTTCACAGACTGGCCTACTTTATTTAAGGTTGATCTTGGTTTCTCAACTTTTTGTCGTCAGATCTCAAACAATATGATAAAGTTGTGTTGATATTATCACTAGATACAAAATTTTGTTTATATATTTCATGGCTTGGCGTAGTTTTAGAAGATGCTATGAAAGTTAATACAGTCTTGATGTAAGACAGCAGGGCAATGTAAGAGAAATGACTTTGGCTTCTTTGTTGCCATTTCATTGCATTAGATCAATTAAGGTTGCATTTGAAATCACGGTGGAAAAGGAGTTCTCACTGTGTTGAAGTGTCGTTTTGACATTGAATTCACTCAACGAGATCGGAAGGGGTGCCACTTTAATCTCCATTGCGCTTCCAAATGTACTCTTAAGTCATCCAAGCGAATTATAAACTTTTGCCTTAGAAATGGCATTCAAATTGTTTATACCGCAACCTACCATACCACGTAAGATGTGTTTGGTCTTTTAAGGGGAACATAACCACTTTTCGAAAAAATTATAAAAAAGGACAGGACTCAGAACTCTAAATTACTTTATAGGGTTTCTTAACACATTGCTTTGGTTGATACCAGAAAATGGAACATAACCATTGGTTTGGTTGGTTGGTTGCTTTGGTTCATTGGAATTGACCTTTATATTCATGTGAAATCGCCTACCTTTTATCATGTTAGGGCCCCAATTATGATTCCTTTTTGTTGTAATTGTCGTCAAATAATGATTTACAGTGGATAAATATATAAACAATTCCTAGAGCCCTTGATATCTCAATGTTCTCTTCCTGGAGATTTTTTATTAGAGATTTTACAATATTCAAGTCATATTAATCTCAATTTTTGTACTTTTGAGCACTTGCTGCTGATGAAATCCAGTTCTGATGAACTCTGCTTTGAACTATCCATAAATGCAGAATGCTAACAGCAAAGAGTCACCAGTCAAATACATGCTTTTTTGTAGATAACATTGTCATCTGCAGCATGTGATTGAAATTTTCAGACATGACTTTCAGCATATAAGGGATTTAATCCTCTTAAATTCGATGGAACTCAAACCTGATCGGGTTTAGTGCATAATTCGATTTCTTGGGTGTGCATTTATTCCTTGATCTTGTGGAGATTCTCTCAAGGATGTGTATGATCTTGAGAAACTTGGTGTATAATGGGCTCAATATCTTCCCCCAAGTTTCCATAATCTGTTTGTTCCATTGGAACTTGTATTTGAACTTTGAAGGGACAAATGACTGCAAATTGAAAAACATGAGATATCTACCGACTGAAATGTAAATGTAGATTCATGAAATATAATTTCCTTTCAGTTTGCAGCATCATGGAAGCAACCAGCTACTTCTTGGTAAGAACATCAAATTGGATGAAGGGAGACCAGAATCAGAACATTGGATCACTAGGGAACAGAAACCAGAAAGAAGATGGCAGTGTTCTCCATAGGCCTTAATATGTTCAAACAGGTTCATTTAACTGTTAAGTAAACTCTAGTTGTAGTCTATTTATAATGATTTCAGTAATCACTTGCAGGTTGATTCTTGCCTCAAGACACCAAGCAAAAGGAGGGCTTCATATTTGGGTCATAAAGGAATTCCTTCAACTTTCTGAAGTAATTTTCCGAAAACATTTCTACACTACAAACTGAAATCTCTGAAATGGGTCCTAAAACTGAAGCTAATATGACCCAGAGTCAGCCCTAAACTGTCAGCATATTAAAAAGTTATGGGTCCAAAAGAATAGACCAGATAACAGCAGCTAAAATGTGCGAGTGCTGATCAGAATTACAAACCCCATTTTTACTCCTAGGGCTGCTGCTGATGCAATCGTTTGAAACAGATCTTTTATCTCTAGGATTTGATACTTTTCTACCTTGTGGAAGGGAGGAAAATGACAGGAAAGAGAGGGAGAATAGCCCTGGAATTTTCAGGGTTCAATATCATGCAATACAGATCTCTTACTTCAGCCACCAAGCAGTACCCTTTAATTTTACTCATTTGGCTCCTCACAGCAAAAGCTTCAATTCTTTGATGCCACTAGAAACATCATATGAAAATTGAAATCCAATTTTGATGGCATCTTTCACAGGCAAATTCATTTGAAAAACCTTTTCAATTATTCCACCATTTTATTAAAAAATTCCAAGCAAACAAATCCTCTGCAAGAATAAAGATCGGTGTCATAATGGATTTTTATGCAATAACAGTTCCATCTATCACAAAAACAAAAGCACTTAAAATTGATCATTTCCAATGTCCGCCACTATCAAAAGTTTCGGTTAAGATTCATTCGGCAGAATCAATATAAAAATCAGTAAGGCTTAAAACTTAAGCCACACTTCCATGGACAAGGGACAAAACAGTAGCCCGACAACCGTGTAAGACTGCAAAGTGCTTTCAAAATTACAGAGGAAATCGAAATCTTATTACATGACAAAGTCTAGAAATAAAATCGAAAATCAAATATCAAATCGAAACCATCTAAACAAAAGGGAAAAATACAGGTACATAAACTTTATAAACAGGACGTGGATGGGAAAAATGGATAATCGGAAAGTGGTCATATTTACAGCTCTACTCCAAAAGCAAATGGTCCAAAGGAATAACAGTATCTGGAAAATCTTTTCTTGGACCAGCTAGGGAGTAATAGGCAAGTATATGAGCTGGATGCTCAACCATAACAGCCTCTCCAGCCTGATCAGTCATAACTGTTTGTCTAGCAGGAATTATCTCAATATTCCAAAATGGACGAGCCATTGCTAACAGATCATGACCTGATCGTGTTGATCTATATCCTTGCACCCACAAGTACCTCAAAGAAGTTAATTGCGTCACAGAAACTGCTAGAGCATGCTCACTGAAGCAACAACCTCTCATTTCTAGTTTCTGCAAGCTAGGGCATCCCTTAGAGAACTCCAAAAGCCCAGCATCAGTCTCCCCAACATAACCCAGAAGCATCCATCTGACCTTCGGACTATATTGCCCAATATATCCGAGACCCACATCAGTCAAACCACCAGGTCGGAGATACAGAGCAAATCTTCTAAGCTTTTCACAGCCCCTCAATAAAGCCCGGACTCCATAGTCAAGAGGCAAATCTGTTATCCTTTCTTCTCGGTCAAGCAAGACTAGACGAAAATCACAGAGATTTTTTGAGTGTGTTCCAATGTGTTCCAACGATGCATTGGTGATATCAGATACATAAACAGCCAAGTATTCCAATTCAAGGCATCCCTGAGCTAAAGCCATTAATCCTCTTTGTGAAACCACACCTTCTTCATCCTCCATTTCCTGCTCATCAGCACCTCGCTCAATTCTAAGCCTCTTTAGTCTCTTACAACTTCGAGCAAGAACTTCTAATCCTCTATCTCCTATAACATTCCTTGTCTGTCCATCCAGCAAACACATTTAATAAGACCCGATTAAAGATTAGAATGAATAATAACAGACTGTCTTTTCTATAATTCCTCAGCATCTTAGCATTTTGCATTATCCAAAAATTTCCATGACCTCTTTTGACCATTTGGTACATTCAACTTCCGAAATATCAATGCCAGATAAAATTTACCACACAAAAAATGCTGACATTCAACAACATACTACTATGTTAAAGCTCAAACTGGAAGGCAAAGTCAAAAGTGTCTTAATAATGGGCCATATTTTAAGAAACATTTCAAAAAAGAAAAAAGTTAAACAATTAAACAATAAAATGCTAACTTTATAAACAAACCAAAAAGTTCACTTGGATGCCAGACCAAAAAATAACAAGATAAGAGATGCAAATTAAGACAAACAATGGTTTTAGGATTCTACCTCGAGAACTTCCAAGTTTGGGCATCTTTGAATTAACAAGCAGTGATCTTCTGTGTCAAGTAATGCATAGAGAAGATCCAACTTTTTAAGCAATGATGCAAAAGGAAACACAATTGGCATTTCATTCTTCCCCATGTATGTTAAACCCAAACGGCATAACCTAGGGGGGAATGCTACAGCAGTGTACTTGTCTGGTTGCTCATTGAAAGAACCACCACAAAATTCTTCTAAAACAGAAGCAGCACGAAAGAAACCAACGAGATCCAAAATTTCACAATCGTTAATTTTCACAGAGACCAAGTTACGACCATTTTTCGCAATAAGTTCAAGGTCTTCAAAACTCACTTTGACAAGATCCGTCATGTAAAAGTTTAAAGTCTCAAGAACCGAGTTATTTAAAGCAATCTCATGAAGCCACTGACCATCTTTCTCAATAATTGAGCTCTCTTCCAGGAACAAGGTTTTTAATTGCCTGAGGAAACATATAAAGATACAAGTCATAACCTAGGAATAGAAAGGCATAATTAACAGACTATCCAGCAGGGCTCCAAAACAAACATTCAAACAGACTGGTACTCTATAGCTGCAAATTGTGAAAAAGAACATGTATAATCCCTCTAAGCATGAAAAATGTCATGAACAAGCATAAGCCATACAGCAAGAATATTGAATACTGCTGCTCCTTGAACTTCAGTCAATACAAATTTGTATTTTCAATGCACAGACAACGTGATGCCAGATATATCCACACGGAAAAAACAAACAAGTCATGTACTAAAAGTATGGAAGTAAATCACATGACTATCAAAGTGAAAATAAACAACTAATTGGCAACCTCAGGAAAAACCTCATGTATGCGCGCACTAATGGTAAATGGAAAATAAAAGAAGTAAACCTATGTCCTAAGGCAAAAATGATGAGATTACATAAAGTTAGAATAGAAATGCTTCCAGAGTATCTATGTTGGTAACTACTAATATTACATCAATAGCCTAACCAGCGAACCGTTTTTCTTTACTTCTTTTGAATGGCCTATTCAGCAATTATATGCACTTTGCTGATTCATCTAAGGTTATTAAATAGCTAAGAAACCTTTTTTACTGCATGAAATCTCAAGTCTAAATATCTCCAGATGGACCACAGCACATGCATTTATAAATGAACCATTAATGGGTCAATCAAGCAAAAACTCAGCAAATGCTATCAGTATCCTGTCATTTATACTAGAGTGCCTTACTGCAACATCACAAAAGCTCCTTGACATGGTATGGCAATACTCTATGCAACTTCAAGCAGCATAAAACCAAACCAAATTTCCACCATTGCTCCTTCCCTGACTTGATCAGTCACTACCTCCTAAAGTTTCAAGATTCGACCCAATAAAATTCATGCAACTTTTAAGCACTGCTGTTATCTCAAATACAACAGTAATGTTTAAAGCAATTGCCACATCTATAAATGCAATACTTACAGGCTGAGAAAAAGAAAGATTCAGCTAAACTTCAAAACAATTGAACATTTACAAATAGAAGACATTGAGCTTGCATCTAAGCAAGTAATATAGATACAAAAAGAAATACAGGTTTCATGAAACATGATCACTTCCGTTCTTTCCCAAGAAACAAAAACCAAGCCAATATTTCCTCCAGTTCAACTCAACCTAACTCAAGTCAACTCAACTAAACTTTGACACCCAAGTAAGCTGGAAGTAACTAAATCAATCCTTTTTACTCTATTCCACTCAGTTCAAGCCATATGTCATCATAAACGCTCAACTTAACACTATCAAGCTTATTCATTTCACATATATCGAATTAAAGAACAAACTTCGTCGCACTTTACAAGCGAAATTAACACTACCCAAGATTAAAATTTTCACAAAGAAACAAAAAAAAAATAAATAAATTACACTAAAATTAAAAAAAAAGAAATTACCGGCACAAGCGGCCAACGTGCAAGAGACCATCAGTAGAAAAACCAGAGCATTTATCAAGCTTTAAAACCTGCAAAACCTTCCCTCTAGACCTAGCCAAAACCGCCAGATCCGAATCTTTAACAATCATCCTTCTAAAATGCACAGATTTCAAGCAATTGAAATTCTCCGCTATTTCATTCACCCACGGCGTCACGTATCCTCCCCAATCTTCAGGTATCAAGTTAAACATCGCCGCCCTAGGTTTTCCTTTTAATTTCAAAGACTCTAAGTGTTGGAACCGCCGTCGCAACCGATCAGGACTCGTCGTGTAACAGAGCGCGATCGTTATGTGCTTACGTGTCAACGCGTCGAGCTCGTACCAACGTCGGCAAACTAGCGAAACGGCGTCGCGGTCTTTCGGGTCGTCTATGTACAGCATCACGCAGCCTAAAACGACGTCGGACATACCGGTTTGTGACGTCATCGGTTTGCTCAACTTGTTATCATTTTCCTCCATCCAATAAATCAAATCGAATTTCCTTTTTTTTTTAAGCTAAACGAAGGATAAAATAAATAAATAAAAAGAGCGATTTGGAGAAGAAAATAAGAAGCCAGAAACGTTTTTTTCTTTTATTTTTCACTGAAGTAGAAGAAAGGAAACGGTGGCATGATCTGAAACACAACGGAGCTCGGCCAGGGATAAACGAATCGGGTCAGACATGGGTCGGGTTGAGAAGGCATGGTCCTAAAAGAGGGGAAGAAGAAGAGAGTTGAGGGAGCACACAGAAAAGTGAGGACACAGCAGAGAAAACAATTCAGTAGATAAAAGAGAGGAGTAGAAATGGACGGTGAAGATTGATTGGACAAAGAAGATCGAGCGGTTGAGAACAAAATTATGAGATCAGACAGGCCATTCAGCTGATTATGTGGCTCTAAAATTTAAAAAAGAAAAAAAAAAAGAAAACTAATAAAATAAAATTTTGTTGAGTGAATCATAAATGGAGGGTAAATTTGGATTTAAAAATAATAAATTTGGGTGGGATGTGTCAGCTAGATAATGGCATCTTTTAGTACAATCGAATCTTTTATGTTTTTTGTATTTTATTTTTATTACATATAAAATGCAAAATTTGTTATATTATAATTTAAATTTATAAATTAAATATAAAATATTTTTATCAAATATATATAATTTTTACGTAAAAATTTTAATTTTTTTAATTTTTTTATTTTTTATCATATCATCATATTATAATTAAAATAATCGAATTATTCAACAATAAAAAAAAAGTCAATGTTAGAAAATTTTAAAACATTTTTATAATTTTGTTAATGACTCCAATTCTTAAATTTTTGTCCAAATTTTATTTTAATTTTATGACTTAAACTAAACCCATTTTGTAACGGTGTATTAAAAATATTCTAAGATTGTTGTTATTTAAGAGAAAATATATAATTAAGTTATACAAATTTTTAATAATAAAATTATCTAGCATGATTCTAGTATTTGATTAAATGGTATAGATGCATTAAGTATATATTTTTATTCAAAAAATATTAGAATTATTTATTTTTGAATTAAAAAAAAGCTTAACAATTGCTTTAAACTCAAAATAAAAACATATAAGCAAAAAAAAATAATGATTTGATATTTAAATATTTATTTATATTATATAAAAAATACTACTCATCCTATTATTTTTGTTCGAACTCGACTTTTTTTCAATTCATAAAAAATTAAAACCAGAATTTTAACTTTGATCGCATGTAGGTTTTGCAATAAGTATCAAGTTTTTTTTTTTTCTTTTCAAAACAACTAATAATAAAGCAAAATATTTACTAAGATTTATTTTTCTTTTGTAAAATGCAGCAAAAGAGTTTAAAAAAAGAACAAAAAAAAAAAGAAAAGAAATACAAAGGCAGCTATTCATTCTACCTCTTTTTTTTTTTTTAACTATTCCATGAAATGAAAAGCAAGCAATTACTTATGCTTTTTAGTATCTCTTTTGTAATGGGTATCTTTTTTTTATTGTCCAAACATCTTTATGTTTATTTTATTTTGCCAAAACATGATCTCAAGAATGTATTCCCTTTGTCTTTTGTATTTGAACCATATATTTTTCAATCAATTAGTGGCTTTTAGTTTTAGATGGATTTATATGGATAAAATAAATTGTAAATAAAACAATATGAATTAAATCTTATACTAAAAATAATAATAAAACTATTGAAATTTGAAAAGTAATAAGAATATGTAAAGTAGACATTACTACTCATTGATGATAGCATAAAATGCTTTATTTATTTATTTTTTTACATATAAGTAATTATAAGGAAGAGAGGGATTTAAATCTCACATTTCTAACTTTCTTAAGAAATTATAAAAACTTTGGTGATAAAATTAATTACCCTTATTCTTAAATTGAATGCAACTAGCCAAAAATAACTATAATTGGTATTGATTGTATCCACCATACAATTTGACATTTGAAATATCTCATTAAAATTAGTATTTTTGGTTAAAATAACAAAAGAAGTCTTTGAATTTTATCATTTTATTTAGATAAATCCCAATACTTTTATAATACTGAAATAAACCATTTATCTTTAATTTGCTCTGAAATAAATTATTAACCTTTAATTTGTATTCAATTAAGGCATTAACTTTTAGTATGTACTTAAATAAACCCTTAACATAAATTTATTATTTGTTTAAAATAAAGACTTATTTAGATACAAATTAAAAAATAAAAAATTATTTGGATGCAATAAAAATAAAAATTAAGTGTTTATCTAAACAAAATAACAAAGTTAATAATTTTTTTTTTTGCAAATGATATCGTAATTTATGAATAAAAAAACGAGTTATAAGTACTGATATCTAAATTTTATACTCATTGAATATAATTTGTTTTTATACGAACTAATTAAATTATTATTGGTCATATATCAATAAATATAATAAGGGACAATTGTTTACAAAATCACAACTATTTTGAATTTTTTTAATTAATAAAGAAATAATTATAGCAAAGTGGAGCAAAGATGGTATCTCATATTTTGATCAATTTCATTAATAATTTATTTAATGTTATAAAAACAGTTTCTTTCCTTTTCAAGATAAAGATGTCTACTCAATGCTTACAAATCCTTTTATTTGTTTATGCAAATTGATCGATTTCATCGATAATTTATTCAATATTATATATGCATAAAAAACCCACCTTATGGAAAGGAGAAAATATCAAAGATGTGCTAACATATCTAGCAATCTTTCATTTTTATTTCTTATTTATTGTATTTTGATTATAAATTTTTTTAAATATTCCATCCGTCTCAAATATATTTGTCATATATTGATTTTTATAATGTTTTAAAAAATTTTAATTTTAATGTATTTACTATTAAAATTTTATTTTTTTATAAAATTAAAGTTTTATATTTTTAATATCAAAAAATAAAAAAATCATAAAAATTAATAAAAAATAATTTTAAATGTTAAAAAAAATATAATTTTAAGACATCTAAAAAAAACAGACGGACAAAAAAATTAAGACAAAAGAAATATCAGATTTTCTTGGTAACATTTGCATACAAATGGGGCATCGGTGTGTGTATATATATATATTTAAAAAATAAAACATATTTAAAATTTTAATGGGTATATCTAGATTATTTTTCCCAAATATTTTATTAATAATTTTACTTTCAATTCTTCCATAGACAACTAACAAAGTATAAACCTAAAAGGTGTCACCATCAAATCAAATCAAGAAGTTCAAATACGAAAGAGACTTTAGGAAACTGATAATAATGAAAAGGCAAAAATTGTGGCAATATTAAATGAAATGAACGAGAAATTTAGCGACCATTTTTTTAGTGGACCCTTGCATCACCTATAATCTAGAACCTTTTTCTTTTGTAAATTAATTTTGTAAAAATTGGCATACATATTAATTTAATATCATAAACTTCAAATGTTAGTCAAATTGGTTGAATGTAAAATTTAAATTTTATTTTTATTATAAATAATTTTTTAAAATATATATAAATATATTTAAAATTTTATTATATATCTTAATTTTAAAATAGAATTACTACACAATATATAGTATCAATTTTAGTACATCAAATTAAAATTAATTAAATTGATAATCACTAATTTATTAAAATAAACCAGTTTATTTTATTGTCAAAATCCAATTTTTTTATCAAAAGTTGGAAATTCAAGTATGATCGATTATTTATGGAATTTAAAAATTTTATCAATAAAATTAAAAATAGAGACATATATTGAAAAAATAAAAACTCAATTTGATGAAAAAAACACATTTATTAATTCCTAAATTTCGATGTGAAGTTTTAAAAAATAACTCTTTTATTTAATAAAATATTTTATTTTATTTGGATTTATTTTTTTTTATTTAAATATTATATAAAAATATTTGTATCAAATGAAAGACACGTGGCATAAACTAATTGAAGGCGGTTTGTCTATATCATATGACAGTTGGAACGCAAACAATGTTGTGGGCGCAAAAAAGTCAGAATTAAACGCTATCGTGACGTGGCCGCCGAGATTCGAGGTTCTATGACGAGTATTGTTAAAATCACAGTGCGAGGCAGTCATTTTACACGTGTTTCTCTGTAATTGGATGATCGTTTTGGCATATTATAATTTGGGCCAAAAACACCTGTAAAGGCTGCAACTTGATGAAATTGACTTTACTTTCTTATAAAATGCCAAAATTAATTATTGATATCGATTTGTCAATAAATTTTGCTAAAATTAAAAAAAAATTATTACCTTATTTTATATTTTTATTTTATTTATATATATATATATCTTACTTATTTTTGCCTTAATGTCATCTTAATAAAATATTATGCTGTGATTATAATTCAATTTTTAATTTTAAATACAAAAATTAGATTGTATGTAGATAATATAATTTATAGTTAAATATATAATAGGGTGAAAAAATTAAAGAAAACTTATTCATTTTGAAATTTTAGGTGTATGTAAATATTATTTTAACAAATAAAAAAATTAAAATTAATTACTCACCCAACTTATTTGAAATTATAAATGCTAATAAACAAATGTCAAGTTTAAAATACTAAAAAAACACTCAAACTTCTTTACTATTCTTAAATAAAACTCTTATATTTTTATTATACTCAAATAAACTCTTAATTTTTTTTATTTGCATCTAAATAAATCCTTTTTTCAAACAAAATTTCGGTTTATGTTAAGTGTTTATTTATGTACAAATTAATAGTTAAGGGTTTATTTGGATAAAACATAAAGTTTAATGATTTATTTGAAAATAATAAAAATATAAGAATTTATCTAAATAAAATAATAAAATTCAAAGTTTTTTTTTTTGGCCAAATATCAATCTTGAATGTACTAAAAAGAGAGAATGAACTCTTAAAATCCTTGATATACCAATATTATATAAGAATCATGTATGTCTAAATTAACATATCTTTTGTCAAATTGGGGTTTGTTTTTCATTCATATAAATTTTTTTGGCATTAATAGCAATACAAATTTAAATATTCATTCACTTGACTAATTCTATAATTTTTTATTTGACTTGCCACTTGCTATGATCTACTAAAGAATCCGATAGGATTATGGTTTCTAGCCTAACAATTGGGAATTTAATTTATAAGAACAAATCATCCCCAAAAGTCTACTTCTATGTTCTAATAATATTTAGCCCACAAACTTTGATTGCCATTTGCAACTTTATAATTCTCAAAGACCCTTACATACATATATACATTATATATTTATTTTTGAAAAAAAAATTATATAAAAAATCATCAAAATTTAAAATTTATTTGCTAAATTAAAAATTTAACATT